TCACTTCTTATCATAGAAAAACTTCGTAACTTAACTTTAACTTTTACATATTGAAATTTTAACAAGTTTTATCATGTTTATTTTTCTAGTAGCAAAAGGAAGCACGCAATACTCGTAAAGGCTTGTGGGCTTTACCAGATTCTGAGAAACTATGAGAATGGAGGAGAAATAATCCTAATCCACGCAAATACATAAGAGAAGCCCCTATTTTATTCACCGGTTCTGATTCAGTAGGGAATACCATGATAATAAAATACTAATGTATATTATTATATTTGATCGCTTATGATCACAATAATGACATGTAAATTTGTGTTTTACCCTTACAAAGTTTAGTTTTTGATGTCAAAGGGAATATCTATACACAAGAAAGTAATGTCTTTTTAATAAACTATGAGTATATTCATGACCTACTTAAACTTGGATTGAATCAGACTCCTAACACAAAAGGATTTTTCTAGAAGTGCCTCAAACAACTAAAAATTAAAATAAAAAACTAATAAAACTTAGTTTCTAGGAATAAAATTACATAAGTAATACATAACATATGATAAAAAATAATTATTTTATCAAAAGTACTGATCTAATTTAATCATTTTATCTATGACAACTAATAAGTTTGAGTGTTAATTAATATTGTATAAAATATCATATAATGTATATGACGGATCTCCTACAAATATTTATAGGTTGTGTATGTATTTGTGTCCACAGGGTATTCATCGTTCTTACGATATATCCTCTATTGTTATCCATAAAAAATCATACCATATATTATTTCTTGCATTCAAATCAACACACTCATTATATAATTGAATGTTCGATGCTTGTTGAATTACATTCATCACAAACTTTCTCATGCATGTTAGCTAGTGAGTCGCTACCTTTTATTTATTTGTCTGTCATTGAGTGTTTGTTGACTATAAGAGTGCTATAATATTTACTGCCTCTTTCTATAACGGCTTCGCAGATGTTTTTATGTATTGCAAATATGTTTCCTTCACCTGCATATAATATGTTGTGTTCTTACAAATTCCCTATTCCTGTTTGAAGAAATTTCGCCACGTTAGTTGCATGATGATAGCCATTACCCGTAGGTGGACCACTATGCATAATGCCAATCTCCAACCATTTATTGTAAATGTCATTACTTCAATCTATAAGTACGATGTTCTATGGATAATAATCTTGCTACCACCATTTGTTGACCTCTGCGTATATTGTATTTCCCGTATTTACTTTTCTTGAAATTATTACAGAGGTTTGGCATGTTTGCTTACGAGTGTATGTCGACACTACATTCATTGCACGTCAAGTTCAGTTATCTACAATGGACTTATGTGCTTACTTGCAAACTTAATTGATATTGATTGTAGAGATATTATTGTGTTTGTTGTATGATATTTGTATATGTTATAAGGCGCAATGTTTGGTTTGCCGATAAGTTGGTGCACATGACTGCATGGAAGTTATTGTAGGAGGATGTCACATTCACCATGTATTGTCTCTCATCACTTGCAGATGTCTGATAAGTTTACTTGTAAGTTAATGATGACTATAGTGAGCTTCATTCATTATTAATTTTCCTTCTACAAATTGGCCAACGTCGACTATAGGGTCATTGTTACATTTGTTTGTTACTTGAATAATGTGTTGTGCACATTAGGGCTCCTTTGTTGTTTGATACACTCACATGGAGTTTTGTTCAATATAAGTTCCCTGCTTGTTTATTGATGTTCAGGGACAATTGATTGAACGTTGTAAATTAATTAAATTTTAATGTTTATTGTTCGTGAGCATCGAGTTTCTATTTATCATTGATTCTCATTCCTTTATTTGTATTTATTTTATACAAATTATCATTTTAGTTTAGTCATTGAGGTTTGGTTCTCCATAGTTCAAATTGAGTTCAAATCAAGTCCTATGTCAGTGTAATTTTCGACAACCACCCAACATCTCCCCCATTTAAGGGAATTTCAATGAATCTTAGCTTGCCCGTCACGTCAAGAAAGACATGCATGGTTTGTGTCGAGTGACACCATGGTCTTAATCTTCAATCCCACCATGCCAAGAAAGGCGTGTATAGGTCTTCAAGGGTACTTATCTGAAAATGAAATTTTCTTTTCCCGCCGACACTGATGTATGTATGATGTAATAACCCAAACTCTTAGTAGTGGATCTGCGCCACTTTGGCATCACCTCTTAAGTATGACAATAACCTTTTTTTTTGCATGTTAATTTGATGGTTTTCAAAAATAATAAAGCCTAGAGTTGTTTGGTCGCAAGTTCCTACAAGACTAAGCCAGTATGTGAGCTTCTCCAAGAAGGAACAAACAAGTTTGTATTGAGCTTTACTTTCTCATGACATGGCTGAAGCTGTATTTTATTAAAACAATAGCTCATAATTTGGTTTGGTGGTGTTTAAGCTAAAGCTCACTTAGATTCAACATAAAATTGGATGTTAAATAGCTCTTTAGTGTTGCATGAGATATTAAATCTAATTTGTATAGATCTTTAGGCACAATCTCTATCCAAGTTAGTTTTGGTCTATTCTTTTTTTTCTTTCTAATCCATTATTAATGACTGGACTTATTTCTCATGTAACATAAGAATTTTGAATATTTATATAAATAACATCCATGTTCTTATATTTACAATCATATAACTTAAATTATTAAAAATTTTAATAAAATCATCAACTTTTATTCTAAATAATTTCTTAAAATTCTAATAATTTTGTTCTATATCACATAAGTCCATTCATCTATTACTGCATCAACTAACATTTTTGTGCTTTTCATTTCATATTAAGAAATTACTACTTTCATTGTTTATCCAACATAATCTCAATGTATGCATAAACTTGAAACTAAAGAGTATGAAACCCTTCTAACACTCATAAAATACATGTAAAATATTTTAAATTTGATTATTGAAAGGAATTTTAGGTACAACAAATTATTTATGTACAAATATTTTACAATATTAAACAACACTCAAGCTTACTAATTGACTTAGATAAAAGGATAAAATTAGACCCATACTTTTGCATTCCTTATGCATTCTTTACACCAAGAGATCCTAATGTAATTTTGTTCCTAAAAACCAAATTTTATTAATTTTTTTGTATTAATTTTTAGTTTCCTTAAGCACTTATAGAAGAATCATTTTGTGTTGGGAGTTTGATTCAATCAAAGTTTAAAGTAGGTCATAGGTATGCTCCTAATTTATCAAAAAGATATATTACTTTCTTGTGAATAGGTAATCCTCATGACATAAAAAATTGAACATTTTAAAATATAACACAATTTTATATATCACTATTTTGACCATAGGCAGTCAAATAAAACAACATACGCTGGTATTTTTTTATCATAGTATTTCTACTAAATCAGAATCTATGAATAAAAGAGGGGTTTCTCTTTGGTGTTCACATGGATTGAGATTATTTTTCCTATATTCACATGATTTCTCAAGATCTGGTAAAACCCACAAGCTTCTATAAGTATCGCATGCTTCCTTTTGCCACTAGAAAAATAAAAATGGTAAAATTTGTTAATTTTATAATATGTAAAAGCTAAATTTAAGTTACAAAACTTTTCTATAGTATGAAATGAAACTTAAGTTACTAAGCTACCTTTGCAAATTCTGGACGACAATCATAAGCTACGTAGTGTCAAACACAACATCTTTTCAATTGTTATTCATATATAAGGATTTCATTACAATAAACATCTCAAACACTTCGACTATATATATATCTTCATCGTAGACATCAATCTTGAGCACTTCCCTTATATCATCTTCACTAGCATCTATTTAGTTTCATCTTCATATGCATTTCCAACCAAGTGTATCAACTAATAGGGGAGTTGATGAACCTGAGGTTAGAATGACATATGGAGAGGAAGCTAAACAGGTGCTCGTGAAGATAGTACAAAGGAATAGCCTCAAGATTCATGACTACAATGAAGATATATATGGTCGGAATGTTTGGGATATTTACTGTAATGACATCTTTATACAAGAACAACTGTTGAAAAGAGGTTGTATATGACACTATGTAACTTTTAATCATGATCGAGAATTTTTAAAGGTAGCTTAGTAACTTAAATTTCACTTCCTGTCATAAAAAAACTTCGTAACTTAACTTTAACTTTAACATATTGAAATTTTAACAAGTTTTATCATGTTTGTTTTTTTAATGGTAAAAGGAAGCACGCAATACTCGTAAAGGCTTGTGGGCTTTACCAGATCCTGAGAAACTATGGGAATGAAGAAGAAATAATCTCAATCCACGCGAACATAAAAAAGAAGCCCCTATTTTGTTCACCGGTTCTAACTCAGTAGGGAATACCAAAATAATAAGTACTAGTGTATATTATTATATTTGACCGCTTATGGTCACAATATTGACATGTAAATTTGTGTTTTACCCTTACAAAGTTTGGTTTTTGATGTCAAGGGGAATATCTATCCACAAGAAAATAATGTCTTTTTAATAAACTAGGAGCATATTCATGACCTGCTTAAACTTGGGTTGAATCAGACTCCTAACACAAAAGAATTCTTCTAGAATTGCCTCAAAAAAATAAAAATTAAGACAAAAAACTAATAAAACTCAGTTTCTAGGAACAAAATTATATAAGTAATACATAACATATGATAAAAAAATAATCATTTTATCAAAAGTACTGATCTAATTTAATCACTTTAACTAAGACAAATAATAAGTTTGAGTGTTGATTAATATTGTAGACATTTGTACAAAATAATTTGTTTGTAAAGTTTATGCACATATGCCTTTATATTTTTAATAAAATTTATACCTATTTTGATCATAAATATTGCACTAATGACACAATTTTGTATTAGAAGGAGCATCTGATGCAATTTATTTCCTAATTTAAAAGCTGTTTTAAAGCTAGAGATGAATTTAAAGACAATATGTCAACAATTTGAATAAAAATAAGTCTAACAGAATAGCATGCAAATAGATGAATTTCTCAAAAGGTTGTAACGATATATGTGAATTAAATATCAAATTAACAAAGATGGACTAAAGTTATAAATTTGCAGGCTACTCAAAAAATATTCATCATTATAGATGCATTATTATCAAAGGTATCCACTTACCTAGTTGATCTTGATGAAAAGACAAATACAAAAAATAGAAAATCACTTACTAGAAAGCAACCAAAAGTCATTCACTCATGACTGAGGTTTTAATCAGGCCTACACAAATGTTAGAGAGAAATAAAAATTAAAAGAATTCAAGCTCATGAAGAAGAAAAAAAAGCATAAGAATATCATGGTAAAAATTTTTAGTTGAAAGATAAGTTATCAAATAAGAGATCCAGCACATGAGAAAATCTCACATAATTTTCTTAGAAGTATACAACATCCTCATTATCATAATAATCATTATATTATCACCAATCTTATCTAATTATTCAAAAAATGATGAGTTTGCCAAAAGAGTTGAAATCAAAACAGGTCGAATGATAAGGACGATGAGAAAGGACTAGTCCACATCATGCGGCCTTTTTTTTTTTTTTTTTTTTTAGAAACAAAGCATTTTTTTTTATTATTTAAAATAAGTTTTACGAATCCTCTAAATCCCTTCATTACTATCAAATGTTACCTAAGGTGCACATATTTGTGCGCTACATGAAAAGTACGTAGCAAACTTAAATATTTGCGATAAAATAATATCCTCTATCGGTCCTCATTTTGTCTTTTTATTATTTCTTATGTAAAAAAGTTTTATTTATGTAAACTGAGAAATAGGCTTTTCCTAATATGGGGTTTGATGAGAAATTGGAATACACAATATTTCTTCTATATTGCAGATAAATTGTTTCCATGAAAAATGTTTGTCTCACTCATAATTGAGGTAAACGTTGTATTATATACACTTAATCTGACCCTTCTTTACAGGGAATCTTACCGAATGTTAGCATATTGTTTAGAATCCATAGAAATATAAAAATGCTGCAGTGCATTATTTTACAAATTTACCCATGTTTGGTGTGGTTTATCGAAGACTATATTTATTGAAGCATTCTGTTAGATGAGTTTACATAATGTTGATATGAGATCCTTCATGTATTTCAAGATATTGATCAAGATAAAAGTTAAACCTTTTTCTTTGATCATACATTATGTGTTAATAATGCTTAAAAATTATAACAATCTTTATTTTGCACCTTTTATCATGCCAATGATCTTTTTTATCATGTGTAACCTTATACACCTAAATAGAATGATTTTGTTAAATATAAAAATCATCAGCCTCTTAATGGTGTTAGGACATCAATTTTTCACGTAATTATTCCTTATTAATCCAGCAGAATCTACTTTGATCGCTATTATCAAATCAATCAAATCCCTTTTCCATTACTAAACCACTCGTCAACCATCTCTATTCTTTATCCCAATTAAGTTATTCTTCCCCCTTACTTTATAGAACTTTGCCTATATATTCTTTGATTTTATATTTCGCTCACAAACTTTCTCCTCTTGCAATTCGCTATATCAATCTTGAGTAAGCTCATACTCAAAAAGCTTGATATTATGAACCATTAATATAGCCACAATATACTTCTATTCATATAACCTTTTATGAGACTATCCCTTTTTTTTTTTTTCCTCCTCCTCCTCCGCCCTCATCGCCACCAATGTCTATAAGATCATCATCAAAATTCAAATGCTATAGAAATTGCATGAAAGCACATAAACCTTAAATGGTCAGATAGAGATGAACCAAACATGTCAATTTAGCCCCATCTAGTTTAGCTTAAAGAGCCTTTTTTGTTAGGGTCTGCCATGCATGAAGGAAACATTCGATGTCTTCCTCTGCTGCATGTGATTAAAGAAGTCTGCAAAAAGGCTATTAGGGTCTTTCCACTAAAGGATGACAAGGGTGGGTATTAGAGGCGGAAAAGACAAGCAATTTAAGACAATGAAAGCTGCAAGGTAGTAGTAAAGTTTTGATATTACAATAACTTTTGATGGATTTCAATAGGTGATTGATGTCAACAAGTCATTCCAACAAAGGGTGGCGGCAACTACACCTAAAAAGGTGCATTAGTAAACTAAAAGTCGGTCCATCTTCCCCATTTCTTGGGCTAGGATGAGAGTGCCTTAAATTGAGGAAAATAATGCGATGACTTGGCATGGCTCTCCTAAATATTGTTTCGTCCTTTTGCTACTAGGTTGTTTTAGTATTTTATAATACTTTATTTCATCAATGTGTTGGTTTAAAAAGCCAAGTTTTTTATAGGATTTATAGGAACCTACTTATTATCTCAAGATTCATTTATAAACTTTTATCCTTTTTGAAGAATTTTTATGGATGTCTTCTTTATGGTAGTGCTTTAATCTTTGTCTCGAATGGGAAGCTATAACAAGTTGGAGCCTCATTAGTATTAGTCTTCAATGTATAGTGTAGTCCCATTGTTGAAGATGATATCTCTAACTATTATAAAGTTTTAGGTTGGATTCATGGCACCACCTATTTGTTATGGGAAGGTTTTTGATGTTGGTGGCCGTGTCACGAACTTTGCCTTTTGAAGCACCAATGAGAAGTTGATTTAATTTAAGCATCTTATATCTACAACTCCTTTAGAATTTCAAAGGGTGCAAACCTAACCTCTTCAATAATAGCCTTCTTAGCACTGAGGTGTTGGTAAAAGCTTTTCTAAGGATAAGTTTTTAAGGATTTGAGGTTGTAGGCAGAGGTCTTTACATCCATTGCTCCATTGGACAAGTTTTATTTTTAAGGTTGTTATTTGGCTCAAACACTTTTAAAGCACAATTACAATATATTGAACAAGTTGTTAAGCAAGAAGTTCAACAAACCAATTTGGATGGTCATATTGACTGCTAAATGAAGTGCAACAAGGGCTTCCCACTTGTTGTCCATTTGGAATATTATTTTGAGTTGTCCTCATAGGGCATGAGCTCAATTGGACCCTATTCAACAAAAGCCTAATTGAACTTAAGTGCTTCAAATAGTGGAGTAGGGTGAATTTCCTAGATCCATTATATATTAGTAAACTCTGTAAACTCAATAGGATTGGGTAGATTTTGCAGCATGTAGTTGGATTTGACATTGTCTGGACGTATTGGATTTATATAGCTCCCAAGACCCATTAAAATTTGATAGTTTAATAGTCTCATCAAGCTTGGTAGACTCAATAGGCATGCTATGGTAGATTACATAGACTAGCAAGAAGGCTACCCCTTGGTGTGGAAGCTCATGGCCATCATTTCTCATAAAGCCTCAAGTTGAACTCAAGTACTATGAAGTTGGTTTGATCAAATACGATGAAAATAAGAGACAAGGGGCATGAAATCTTAAAAATGTATAGACCTAAAGCTGAAGTAGCCCAATTTATGCTAGCACATTAATGACATTAGGAACAACAAAGATATACACATATTGACAATGTTAGTGCATAAGAAAAAAATCTAAAAATTCACTTATGTGCGCGGCAACGACATAAAATTGATATGCACAAACAACGAGAATGTGCAAGGAGTCACTCTTCACAACTTTATGAACTTCAATAAAGCCATAATAGTAGAATCACAATTTGGGTTAGACGCTCCTCCCACACATTTCAATTGGATTTAAAGACGGCACTCATATGAATTGTGGTCTAATATAAACTCTCCTTAAGCTCATCTTGTGGATGGGACTTCAATGCAGTTTTCATGAGGGTACTAGGATTGTGATTTGACCATCTTTAACACTATTATTTTTCGACATTAAGGCTTTGATTACAGGGTTGTGATTTTGTTCGGCCCTCCTTCAACTAAATCCAAATGAGGCTTTAATGAATTTGTATTTGTGGTATTATAATCAATGTCATACCAACTTTAATTATATCATAATGAAACTTTAATAAATTCATATTTATAAAACTATGATCTGGCTTCGTAAACTCATTGAAGTTGGCTAGCTCCATAGAACCAACAAAGCCAGTAGAGTCCATAAACTCATGGAGTTTGGTAAGCTTCATAGCCCAATTGAGTTTGACAGAATCCAACAGAAGATTACTTCTTAGTGATGTGGGATTAAACTCTCTAGTAAATCCTCGAAAAGGCTGAGGTTGTTATGTAAAGAAAAAGAATTCTATCTAGCATTCCATGTAAATGCCTTTATATCACTTCCATATATTAAAGGACGTTCTTAAAGTTTGTTTGCGAAGGAAATGAACTTTGTCCTGTCTCTTTTACTTTGGAGCCTTAGAGGTGTTAAAGCTCATGATGGGACTTCATTGGAAGTTTACCCATGATTGTGATATAAATTAAGTACTCGTTAACCATAAACTCAAATGGGATATGATCAAATCCTAATTTAGGTAGGATTAAAAACACATTTTGAGGATTCTTTTTAGAACAGTTGAGGTTGAAGCACAAATTTTACATAAGAGAAATTTGATTATAAAATCTTGACAATAATTTCTTTTACAAACTTGCACGTTAAAATCTAACATTTAGCATATGAAAATATTCAGAAATCTCTTCTTGCAGTTACTTGCTAACTCGAACTTTTTTTTATACAACTAAAATAATTAAGCCGAACATCTTCAAGACATGTGTTATGGAAATTTAAATCCCTAATTTTCATAATTATCGTCATTAACTTTTCTATGACAACTCACCTATAATCCCCAATGTATAAAGATATGCATAATATAGTCAGCACATGCACTCAAAAGCTTAGTATATGATTAATCATGATAAAAAGAATGCATAAGGAATACATAACATATGATAAGTACTGGTTTAATTTTATCCTTTTATCTAAGATAATTAGTAAGTTTGAGTGTTGTTTATTATTGCATAATATTTGAACAAAATAATTTACTTGTAGGTTTTATACATAGATGTCTTTGAATTTTTAATAAAATATATACCTATTTTGAACATAAACATTACACTAATGACACAATTTTGCATTAGGAGGAGCATCTGATGCAATTTATTTCCTAGCTTATAAGCTGTTTTGAAGCTGGAGATAAATTTAAAGACATTAGGTCAACAATTTGAATAAAAAAAAGTCTAGCAAAATAGCATGCAAACAGATGAACTTCTCAAAGGTTGTAATGATATATGTGAATTAAATATCAAATTAACAAAAGATGGGCAGTAGTAAATTTGTAGGCTATTAAATAAATATTCATCATTATAAATGCATTATTATCAAAGGTCTCCACTTACCTAGTGGATCTTAATGTTAAGACAAACATTATAGACAAATACAAAAAGTAGAAAACCACTTACTAAAAAGCATTCAAAAGCCATTCACTCATGACCGAGGGTTTTAATCATGCTTGCATAAATGCTAGAGAGATGAAGAAAAAAATTGTGAAAGAATTCAAGCTCATGCAGAAAAAAAAAGCATAAGAATATCATAGTAAAAAATTTTTAATTAAAAGTAACCTATCAAATAAGAGATCCAACACTTGAGAAAATCTCACATACTTTCCTTAGAAGTATACATCATCCTCATTATCATTATCACTAGTTTTATCTAATTATTCACAAATGATGAGTTTGCCAAAAGAATTGAAACCAAGACGGGGCTGAATGATACGGACGATGAGAAAGGATTAGTCCACATCATGTGGCTTCTTTTTTTTTTGGGGGGGAAACTAAACATTTTATTTGATTATTTGAAATTGGTTGTACAAATCCTCTAAATCCCTTCATTACTATCAAATGTTACTTTCCACAAAATCAAATACTTTATTTTTCCATGCTTACACATGTCATCTTCCAAAGAAACACACAAATCTCCTTTCAAAGCACACACATGCAACTTCTTAATTTGCACACAAAGAACACTTTTCAAACACAGTCCCAAAAAAAATCTTTATAAAAAAATAAAATAAAAAAATATATATTAAAAAAAAAACACTTTTCAAACACACAAACTTTTTTAAATACTCATTTTTTACTTTCCAAAATCTACACATCTCACCATTCAAAGTTCACACGCTTTATCTTTCAAAGCATTTCACCTTTCCAATATATACATTTTTCACTCCCTTCAATTTCCAAAACATATACAATTCACTCTCCAAAATTTACATGGCTCACTTTTAGCATACACACTTCCCAAAGTATTTTATAAGAGGTTTATGTGTGCTCACCATTGAAAATGAAAGCATATGAATGATTTTCACAATTTTTTTCCAAAACACTTCATGATAGAAGAAAGCACAAGCTTTCTCCAACATTTCTCCCAAAAAATGTTTTATAAAAAACTCTTGAATGCTCACCATTTCTTGAAAATTCTTTATAAGAGACTTATGAATGCTTATTTCCAAAACGACTTAGAGCACAAGTAGACATATGAAAAGCTTTTCCAAAACTCATTGAAAGAACAATCCTGAACATACATTTGTATGCATATTTCTCCAATTAACCATAAGCCATACATTGATAGAGTGTTACTCTAAATGTATGTTTAATATCAAGTTCAACTTACAACCACAAGCTACTACTCATGAAACAAAAGAAAGGATCATACAAGCTTCATGCAATCCATCATTCAAATGCTATTTATTCTTCATTAATATTAAGTTTTCATCCACAACAAAATGGAGAAGTGTCGATTACAACACAAATAATTCTTGATATGGCTTCACAAAATTAGCTTGATCGGGCACGAATCTCGAGGCAAAAGCTAGTTGGAAACTACAAAAATTAATTTTGGGCGCACCCGAACTCTGATTTCAGCGAGCTTACAGTACTCATGAAACAACCACATATACAATGATAGCCACCGCACCAATATAAGGAAAAGACAAGAATATTATAATTTACAAGGCTCGACAATCACATCATTCATCCAAATGAAATAAACATGCATTCTTGCTTGACAATTAACATAATTGATAACTTATATATGCATGTTATAATTCATCTAAGGCAATTCCATTAATTCATTTAACATAAAAACAAACAACGACTACCCTCACCCTGAAAGTTGATAGATTTAAGCAACGTACATATTGATCGACCATAATGAACACCACATTATCTCAAGATGAGCTCTTCAAGATATAATCATAATAGGTAAGGTAAAGATGAATAGTCAAATCAATTGAGCATTAGCTATCAATATGGAAAGCCTACTGCGACTGTACAGGAATAACACTGAATGCATGTCATACAAGAAGTAAAACAAAAAAACAAAAAAAGTTTCATATTATATTTAACGAGAAGTTATGAGCCTATCCATCCATACTCTATACGAATGAATTTTTAATAATTTTTAAAGCTGTATGATGTATCTCCAGGAGTTCCAATCCTTCATTCAGAGTTGTCTTAAAAAGATATAAGGTGTTGAAGTGGAAAGATTTATTTAGATTGTTTGTTAAGGAAGAGAAAAAGAAGAAGATAAAGAGGATGTAGAAGAAATTACCCAAGGTTGAGAAGGTTGTCGGCGTCGGCTAGGGCAGAGGAGGCAAGAGATGGGCGGACGGAGTAGGGCAGGCGGCGTTGGGTAGGCGCCGGCTAGGTCAGCCGTCCACGAAAGCATTTGAGATGAAAGAGGATGGGGATCCCGTCTGGAGCTTCTCACGCAAGAGAGCAAGGAATAAGAAGGGGGAGTTCTCTTGGGGGTTCCGGTTATTGATGTCCGAATGAGAGGGAGACGGAGAGCGAGTAGTACGAATGAGAGGGCTTTTTCCGCGCGAATAGATAGGAGGTAGTGGGGGCGGTTTCCGAATAAAAAGAGGGAGAGAAGATGGATCGTGGGGGTTTGGTTTAAACCGGTCCAACCGAACCTTAGGTTTAGCCCAAACACCTCTTTTAATTTGAATTTTGATTCAAATGAGGGACAATTAAGATTTGTTTTAATTTTAATTTAGGCAGGTTTGTATGCAAAAAAAATTTATTTTGCTATTTTATTATTATATATATATAGAACTAGTGATATGGCTTGTCTTATGGTTTTAATGCTGTGAGCGGGGGAGAAAGGATTTAATGCAGTAAGGAAAAAAAAACTGAAGAGCAGAGGATGGCTAGGGGTGTCAATTCGGGCCACGGGTGACCCGAATCTAAACGGGTCAACTCGAACCTGATCCGTTTTTGCAAATGGGTCGGACATTTCAACCCGGACCCGACCCACGCAGATTGCAGGGTTGACCCGACCCGACCCGAGTGGCAGAAGGTGGAGTCCCAAACCGGGTTAACACTGCACGAGTGCAGGCGGAGTCCGCGGACCGCGCGACGATGCGAGTGCGGACAGAGTCTAGGCCTCGGCGAGACCGCATGTGCGAAAGAAGTCTGCGGGAGGCGGGACGGCGCGACGGACCGACGACGCGACCTTGCGAGTTCGGGGCGCGAGCCGGCCGGCTGAGTCCTCATGCGAGTTCGGAGTTCGCACGCGACTGGCGGACCGCGGACTGACGGAGTTCGCACGCAAGTGTAGGACCGCGTCACCGCACGAGCGCGGCAGCTGGGGACGTCACGAGTGCGGGTTGAAACTGGGTTGCACTAGATTTTCGGGTCAGTATCGAGTTGATTTCAGGTTTTCGGGTCAACCCGAACCTGACCCGTTCTTGAAACGGGTCAAAAATATGAACCCGAATCCGACCCGTTTGCTAAACGGGTCAACCCGAACTAGGATTTTTTCGGGTCGAGTTCGGGTCGGGTCAAAAATTGACACCCATAAGGATCGCATCACCAGCAGTTGACACAACACCAACATGAACTAGTGATATGGATTGTCTTATGGTTGTTTTAAGGAAAAATTATTGCGTCCTCCCACCTGACGTAGAGCTACATCAAGTAGCCTATGATATATCGCCACGTGCACTTACTTTTTACCGCGCGGCCCGACGACCCGACTCGGACCGAATCCGGGATTGCTATGTTCGCGTATTGCTCGGAATTTTTCTCGATATTGCTAGGTATTACTCGGTATTTGCTCAGTATTGCTCTATGAAGACCAATACCGAGCAATACCGAGCAAATACCGAGTAATACTTAAAAGAACTCGGTATTTCTCGGTATTGGTCTTCACATAATAGTATTTTTTATTTTTGTCGAGCAAAATCGATCAATACCTAGTAATACCGAGCTACGCAAACTCCCGGGTCTGTTAAGGGTCAGGTTGTCGGGCCGCGCGGTCAAGAGTAAGTGCACATGACGACATATCATAGTTACCTGATGTAGCTCTACGTCAGGTGGGAGGACGCAATATTTTTTCTGTTTTAAGGCCCTAACTCCAGCACCATCATAATCACTCTATCTACACTTTGGATCTTCAACTTATAATCCACTACTATTTGATTTGGTCCAGATTTGAAATTCTAAATAATATATATGAGTTATTGTATAAAAAAAACAATTTGGCAAATAGTAATAATTTATTAGCAAATTTAAATTAAACGTTAACTAATTCAACTATTGCAGCTGCTCACAATAGCTTCTAAATATATATGCTCAAGTAAATTATTTATAAATACTCTTATTCTGTTCATTCAAGAATATTTATAACCAAAAGAGAACATTTTTTGAGGGTGCAAAAACCAAAAACCAAATCAAACGGTGCAAATTTCATATTTTAACAGTATAATTTTGATTTGTATTTGTAGAAGTCAGTTTGGTTCATTTTGGTTACAAATAATCGGTTTGGAACCAAATTGAACAGTGCCCACCTATAACTGGAAAAATTATTCCGTCAGGCTATCTGACGTAGAGCTACATCAGGTAGCTTATAACGACCCGAATCGGACCGAATCCGGGATTACTATGTTCGTGTATTGCTCGGTATTGCTTGGCAATAACGAGAAATACCGCTATGTGAAGACCAATGCCGAGCAATACCGAGTAATACCTAAAAGAACTCGGTATTGCTCTTCACATAATAGTATTTTTCATTTTTCATAATAGTATTTTTCATTTTTGTCGAGCAAAATCGACCAATACCTAGCAATACCGAGCTACGCAAACTCCCGGGTCCGTTCCGGGTCGGGTCGTCTGGCCGCGCGGTAAAGAGTAAGTGCACGTGGCGACATATTATAGTCTACCTGATGTAGCTCTACGTCAGGTAACCTGACGGAATAATTTTTCCTATAACTGGGGGATGTAAGAACCTTACATTCAACTAATTAACTGATTTTTTACAAGCCAGAAAAGAGTAACTTACAGAAATAGCCTGAAGTCTAAACTATCTTTAAGGGCATATTACAAGATAATCTTCATGGAACCAATAAATGACAAAAATTTGGTAACGTCTAATTATTAAAAAAACATATTATCTATTTACATTATGCTATCTCATTATGGTTGAATTGAAATCCTCCTGAACTTACCAGGCTACCAAATGACAAAGCAAGCTAATATCTGTTAAAGAAACCAAGCACAGCCATATCCTTCGAAAAATAATTTTAACACATACATTTACACCCTAAAAATGGCAACAATACAGTTATATGTTGAAAAGAACAAGATTCATTTCATTTATATCTAGGGCCAGCCTAACTCTAGGATATTACACATGTCAAAGGAAGAATAGAAGGTAAGAATATGCATGGCAAGCTACGTACAGTATGGGAACGAAATCCTCTTAATACACATTTGCTAGCTTCTTAGGTTTAAAGAGGACTTCAAAAGCTATTGCAGCTCCAGGGACTCCACTAATTACTAAATCAACTTGGACTGATGGATTAGCAAAGTTGATCAGATTTTCAAGACATGGTTTGCTATGGATTTGAAAATTTTGCAGAGGAAACAATGTGGCCTTCATGAGTCACTCCAATTATCATCATCTTCATCACTACCAACACATGCCTATACAGATAAACAAATGCATGTAATATACAAAAAAAAAAAAAAAAATCAAAGAGAAATACAAGATTAGCTTCCAAGAAGTCCTAACCTTTCGGATTGTATTCGCTTTTTCCAGAATGGCAACAACCTTTAAATTTGCCGGATGAGTTTTCAAAATGTTTGGCTTTGCTGAAGTTGCTGGTTTCAGGTAGAAAGACTGACAGAAATTTGATGATTAAGCCAGGGTGGTGATAAAGCAGGAAACAAATTTCTATAACCATTCGAACCAGACCTTATTTTTTATTTGTTCCAGTAAATAGTTCCTTTCATCTTCTGGTGGCTTTGTCAATGGCCAACCAAGTTCTGAAACCCTCCGCATCTATGACAAGAAATATTTTCACAGTGAAATTCTTCTGAGTTCTTAAAGTTAAATAAATGTATGAAGAGAAATCATCATTACCGTGCTTTTATCTTGAGCAACCACAGCCTCTATCAGATGATCCCTTGGACGGTTTCGAATGGAATATGGTTTTTCATTTGGTTTATCACCTTTCATTTCAAGCGGCAAGATATCATAGACATTATATGAATTACTGCCCTTTACAAACATATGATAATCGTAATGGGGAATGTCGTAAGCTGCTATTGGAGATAGTCCTGAGAAATTGTGATGCTGAACGCCTTCCCCTTCAAAACCACCATAATCTCCATACATATATTGACAGTTACCATCTCTTGTTGTTGACATGACCGGGAATGAATTCAAAGGTGTCAACGCATCTCTATCAATTATTGGGGGTTCTTGTAATCCTTCCAACTCAAAACCTGCTAGAAACTTGACAAGCTTTTGTCCTGTTTCTTCTAGGTTGCCTGCTTCCAAAAGATCAGGGTGTTGAGGCATTTGATCCTTGAGCAACGGAATGGTAAGTGTGCTCTCTCCAATTACTGCAACATTACCATCTGCATGTTTCCCATCTTCTTCAGATGGCATTATCAAAGATAGGTCTGAAGAATGAACCGTTTTGACTTCAGAAGATGTAATTTCTAGTTGTTCCCTCAAATCCATGGAAATTGGAGGCAACTCTGACAATTTTTCAGACTCTAGCATTCCATCTGTACTTGAAGAAACCTGCTGAAACCTCTCTTTTTGAGCAGATAAAGTAACAAAGGAGCTTTTTTTCTGCTGGCCTGTGTTTTGTCGTAATATGCATGGATTAGTCTTCTCTACTGGTTGAGCTATATGCTCACTTGCAACTAGAGATTCCAAACGAGGTTTAACTATTCTCCACTGCAAAGGGGGAAGTGGTGGTAGGGGCGGTGCTTCCTCATTGTCTTCTCGTATTTGAAATCTGGAGATCATTTCATCTGCCAATTTTTCAAAAGGTTCCCGGGCACTAGTCAAAGAATTGGGAATGATGAAATCTGCAACTAGTGGTGATTCTGAAGTCAATGCAACACGAGCAATGGAACTTCCAGGGTACTCGGTAATATCTTGGAATGGATCAAAGAGGTCAAACTTTGTCTGCTTCGTCTCATCTATCCTTGACGAAGGTATACTCATCATACTGTTGCATCCTTGGTCACACAATGTCACGAGCTCTTGCTCCAAATTATTCTGACTATCAATAGGTTGATCAGAGCAAACTTCATTAAAACGTATGTCATAAGGGTCAATATTATCGCCACCTGTCCTTAAAGGTACTGTAATTGGCTCTTCAACTGCTTGAGATATGGAAGCTTGCTGAGGTTGCACTTCTAACCTTCCAGCATCAACCTGAAAATGCTGCATGGAAGCTTTTGAATCGAAATCTTGCTCATCTTCTCTGCAGCATGCTAAATTCGCTTCATAAGTATGGTGATAAAATTTCATTTGATTATCATCAGCTAATTTAACATCAGTAAAGTTAGATAAATCTAGAGAAAATAATTGAGAGCTTGAACTTGCACCAACGAACTCATGTTGGTTCCTGTTCCTACTAAGAGGCACAAAAATCTTGCGTTCAAATTTCAAAAATGTCAAATCACTTGAAATAACAGGCTCTTCAGCCTCTTTCTTATGCTGATTCAAGGAAGAATCCTCAGAAAAATGATTTTCTTGAAGCTGTGCATCAAGGTTGGATATATCTAAAGATTGTAACAAGGAAAGATACTCACCATCGGTACCATCTTCAGTGATTTTGTTCTCAGATTTTGAATTAGAATCTGCAATCTCTGATTTATCACTCTCCAATTTATACTGATTCAAGGCAGCATCCTCAGAAATTGGATCTCTTAGAATATTTAAATCAAAGCTGCAGCCTTTTGAAGATTGTAACAGGGAAAGAACCTTGACAGTAGTACCTTCTTCAGAGATCACATTCTCATACTTAGAATCAGAATCTTGATTATTTTCTCTTGAACATATGTTATGCCCTTCAAGGCTGGGATGTAATTCCACGTGAATATCATCAACATTAGCATACACTAATTTATCATCAAATGAGTTGGATAAATCCTGAGCAGATGGCCACCCTCTTGATGCTGCATTATCAAAAATTTCTAGGTCCTCGTTCAGAGCAAACGGCACAAATGGTTTGTTCTGAGAGAGTGAGAATGCTGAGTCTCTAGTAATAGAAGGCTCTTCAATATCTGGGTTTGGCTGACATGAAGTATCAGTCTGTGAAATTAGATCTTTCAGCGAATGTACATCAAAACTGGATACTTTTGCAGATTGAAACATGTGGAGAACCTGGTCATGTAAACCATCGGCAGTGATAACCTTCCCGGCATTTGAATCATTGCTCATACTTTCCTCAAGTAAGAGCTCATCATACCAAACACTAAGCTTATTAGATACATCCACAAATTCCAATGAATCACGGACATGTGTTTTTCCATTTTTCTCAATCAACTCCAAATCTTTAGGCTGCAATTGAAGTGCATTTGGGTTTTCTCCACAACCTGATGGCAATGACTCCACCATATCGATGGCAGCAGACTCCTGTGCTTCATCAGCATTAGAGGAATGCTCTAACTCAAAAGCAATGGCTGGAGAGATTGCTGGTTCGCGCTCTTCAACATCAACATTTCTGGAGCTAGCTGGAGACTGTGGATGCACAAGTTCGTCTTCGCTCATAGAAATATTCCTCACTTCAGTAGTTAAGCTTTCAAACTGAAAAATGGATGAAACAATCTCCAGAGAAAAGGCTGAACTTTTGGGTGAAAACTGATCAACAGAATTGGTTTCATTGCCCTCCATTGAATCATGCAAGGAATCTTCAACAACTGTCAAAATATCTAAAATAGAGCTTTCTGCATGCTCTTGTGGAGGCTTAGGCATCTGACATGTGGTTAACGTCTCAAGAGAAATAATCTTTTCTGAAACCCCTGAAAAATAATCCTTCAATCGACTACCATGAAATAATTCACTCATCAACATTGAAATTATGAACATTTTTAATTAGGGATTTTACATACATAACACTTCAAACTTATATATTTACTTATCTAACACCTAAAGTATACTATTTACATACCTACCACCTAAATATACCATGTTTCATCTAAAATACCACTCCGTCAGAACTCCGGCCCGACTCTTCTTCGTCGCTATCTCGTTGGAGTGTCCAGACGGCTTAGGAATCGAGACCCACCCGCTTCTATCTTCATTGATGCCATGGTAAGGCTTCATTGGCTTTCGCTGTAGCCGTCGGTGGCTCGATCCAGTTCTCCGGCAGTGAAGAAGCGGAAGCTCGAAGGAGATATGTTGAGTTCTTTCACACATTGCCGGAGGATTCGCCCGCCGATCTCTTCGAAGAACTTGTCCTCGCCGCCCAGCATCCTTCAACCAACTTAATTCACGGGGAAGCTAATGCTCATGGATGAGAGGAGTTGGAAGAGGATGATGAACATGATAGTAATGGCGGGTGCTGAAGCTAGGTGATGAAAGAATGCTGCAGAAGTTGTGCAGCTGTAAGGCGGCGAGCAGGCTTTTTCTGAAGGCAACAAGAAATGAAGGCCCTGAACTCTCTCGATGCCGTCGGCGGAGCCTCCGGTGGATTCGAGTAACAGATAATTCAGCGGAGCCCCTGTCCCTGGTTAAGATAATTCAGCTAAGAAATAGTTACCATAAGTTATTTATTAAGGAATAGAAATATGATTCCGAATCCCAAGCTCAACTTGGTTCTTCAATCTTCTAAAGCATTTTTCACTTATTTCTTTGAATCTCATGAATCTCGCAGACAAAAGATCAAAATTTTATCCAGGACTTGCAGATGAGAAGAACAATGTGATTAAATAAAAAAGCGTCACACAAATTTTAGACAGAAAGAAAAGAGAAGGAATTGATTCTCCCACTTGCAAATTGTTGTTCCTCCTCACACAAATTTCACACATTTACCGCTGCTGTCGTCGATTGCCTTCTCCAGCAACCTCTTGTCGTGACTTCCTGCTCCGGTGGCGTCACAGATTTCAGGAATTTTGGGGCGGAAAAATGAAGATGTCTTCCTCTTCCCACGTCGCTGGATCGGGTAAACACTCCAACGACGAAAAAGAAGGGATTTCATGAGCGAAAGGTAGAGTCGGGACAGAGGTTTGACGGAGTGGTATTTTAGATAAACGGGATGTATTTAAGTGGTAGGTATGTAAATAGTATACTTTGAGTGTTAGATAAGTAAATATAATAGTTTGAAGTGTTATGTATGTAAAAACCCCTTTTAATTAATACATGAGATAAAATGCTATCACTTACTAGTAAAGCTAGCTCACCTCTATCAACAGGGCATTGCAAGCTAGATTCTACCTGTTTATTTTCTTCATCACTGTCCTCCAAGTAATTTGATGAAGTTTTATTGGCTAAATCTCCTGTCAGCCTTCCTTGTCCATCAACCTTCAAGTCCAATGTTGAATCATTAAAAAATAAAGAAGAAGCCTTCCCAGGCAAAGTACCATCTTCAATTTCTGAAGGATCACATGGCATATCAACTTTATCAGAAATCTTGCCTTCACTGTGTTCTGTTGGATTAATTTCTTCAAGTACATCAGAAGGAAAATCAAGAAAATCAATAAAAGTGGAATCCGTCATACAAGAACTAGAAGAAGCTCCTCCACTTATAGGAACGAAAATGGTTGTATTGGATTGTTTTGGATAACAATTTTCATAATATGTCAAATAAGATGATGATGGTACTAATTTCACATCTTCACCAGTCTTCTCTAACTTACCTGTTTTAAATTTGTTAATTTCAGAACCAGAAGTTGCTTCAAAAACAGTTCCCTTCCATAGTGGCTGATAACTTAAATCAACTGAAGATGTTGATTCTGATATATTATGAGTTTCATCTTTTATTTTTACCGATTTCAAGCTTCCAACATAACCTGATCCAGCGGATTGAGTTTGTAGCTCAAGATTTCCATCAATGGAAGGATCTGTCCCTCGAGATATACTATTAAAGAAACCTGGATCTAACTTAGTTCTCTCAGAATCCGTCTCCAGTTCCGATCCCATGGTGTTTAAGGCATCAACATAATTTTCCAGCTCACTCTCAATATCATCAGATCTGTAACCCTCATGATCATCAAATAGAATTAATCCACTAATAGCAAAAACGTTGTTCTGATCTCCTGGCTGTCCTGCTGGAGGACACGTATCAGTTTCACCAGACCTATGGTCAAAAGCGTGTCCTACTTTAATCCCAAGTTCCAACAACATCGTGCCTTGATTAGCAATTCCAGAGGTTGGATATACTTTTTGCGAAACACCAGACAGTACAGACATTGCTTCCAAAAATTCATCATCTTCTGCTTTCTGGCCCTCTATTTTAACAATGGCCTCAGCTCTAGGAGAAAGAGGAAGAACTTCCTTTGTTACTATTGAAGGAGCTGTCACTACACCATTTAGATCTTTCCAGCTGTCTGAAGCAAAATTTATACTTGTCATAATGAGTGAATCAGTTAAAAAATTTTCAAAGATCATTTTGCTCTAGTGATTTTTCTTCCAGAATACCTTCCATATAGCTTTGTTTACTTATATCTGAAACTATAAAGTTCTTGTGTTTCAACTTGATATGCCTTGTTGGATATTTCTCTATTACTTGTTCAGAAGCAGTAAGTTCAGAACTGTATGCAATGCAAAATATTAATCATGACTTTATCAGATTTACATAAAGATATGCAGACTGATCAATGGCTGTAACACCTCAAGAAAAATTAGCTTACTTGCCGATAATTGATGTAAAAAAACACTCACTCTTACTGCTTCTACAATGTGATCCCTTTTTCTGTAGGAAAATTAAAAATCAGAGTTAAGAATTACTGTTTAGTATCAAAGAATAATTTTGATCACTTGTATCATTTGATATCTTGAAATCTAAAGTGAAACATCCAACTAGTGGCAAACGTATGTTCACAGCACAAAATGCACAACAGACCTGTGAAAATATGTTAATTAAAAGATACAGACATTAAATGTGCATTTCTAAAACAAGGAACAATTACATTGAGTTTTGGAGCTCTCTTTTCTCCGTGAAGCTTTGGTTCCATCATCAGAAAGGTGGTTGAATGTGTCTTGAAATACGAAGGATCCGAGTACCTCTTCAAGCATGCCCCAGCACCAGCAATATCAAACCTGAAGAAATACTTTAAGTACTCGCTGGCCAAATTGACATGACAAAAAGAGAACACATGAAGAATATAAATACAACAACAACATCAAGCCTTTGTCCCACTACGTGGGGTCGGCTATGAAGCACATAAATTCAAAGAGAAAAGAAAAGAAAAAAGTATACGAAACAGATATATCCAATGGCTAGATAACTCACTTATCCATCATGAATAACCGTGGAGGATCACGGCATTCTTCATATAAGTCCAATATAAAACGAGGCATATCTCCTTGTGTGACTAAATTCTGATTCACTATAAGATTAGAATGCCAGTCGATACCTGGAATGTTATGTAAAATCGAATGAAAACATTTAAAGAAACGAGCATTTCTATATGTACAACTATACTATACAATTCATTTACTTCATCAAAATAGGAAAAAGAAACTATACTACAATTTGAAGCTAAGACTTGACCTGCATTATAAGCACAATGTGAATAATCAGTTCTACAGAATAATACTTTTTCTACTGATGGAAACTCTGCCTCTATTTGCTGAACACGCAACATCAGCTCATGCCCTCTAGCAGAAGTTGCCATCACTTCTTCATGCAAATCATGAAATATCTCTGCAGCAAATCTGTGTTAAAGGATTGATGAAGTCATCAGGAAAAAATCACCTTATGGCTGAAAATAAATCATAATCAAGAGGACTGAATGGATAAATCATTATGAAGTAAAGAAGATTCAGAAAATCTGTGGCAAAAGATTAATGCAGTCTGCTGACATATGATTAAAAGCAACAAAGAATTCGAATGAATCACATGATTTTTTTATCTTCAAAGGAAAACCATAAATTAATTTAAAATAAAATAAAATCTTGCAGTACAACCATGGGTTCTAAAATTGCTTCAGTTTCAAACCCTGAAGTGCTGACCACTGCTAAGAGAAAGAATTTACTACATACACTGAAAGTTCAACTATTCAGCAGAAGAACAGTAAATCAAAGACCATAACAAATAAAAGGAGGACAGAAAAATGCATCAATCTGCTAAAAATAGAGACAAAAACAAATGAGAAAAATTGTATTCACTTGATTAAAAAAAATAGGAGATATGCATACTTACAGGTGCTAAACAATGCCAATTACTAGTCCTAAAATTAAGGAATAATATGTAATCAATGGGAGACAAATAAGGAAGACAAGAAATGATAGATTGATGAGATGGATAATCATCCGATTGTTGATTTGATAAGAGCACATGGATTACTTGATAAGGATTCATTGATGGGCCACAGTAATGCTCTTATAGAATTTTCATACTCCCCCTCAAGCTAAGAAAATATGTTGATCATTCCTAACTTAGAAGTTAGGTTGTTGAATTGTGATTGATCAAAGATTTTGATCATGATATCTGAAGTCTTATTGGAGTGACCTGCATTTTAATAATCCTATAATCTTTTTTTTTCATTTATAAAATGTCTATCAATTTCTACATGCTTAATTTTATCACGGTGGACTAGATCTTTGGCAATGTTAATTGTAGCTTGATTGTCACATATGATAATCATTGTTTCTTTAATGTGAATATTTAGGTCTTTCAACAACCTTGTAGGCACATTCCTTCACAAATTCCATGTGCAATAGCCCTAAATTCTACTTCAGCGCTACTTCTAGCAACAACCGTCCATTTTTTACTTCTCCATGATTTTTTAGAAATTATGGACCCAACTCAATCAACATCAGTAAATAGATTTATACTCCTATCTATTTCTTTTTTAGGTACTTTAGTATCCTAAAGGTGTTTCTTAATGATAGTATTTATAAATCAGCTAAGCATACTGATAGAATAACAAATGTTAGGACAAGTATGATAGAGATAAATAAAATTTCTAACCAAACACCGGTACCTTTCTTTGTCACTTTGGGGAGTGTCTCCATTTGATCATATTTTGTTAATAGGTTCATCCCAGTTTCTTTTAGTTTCTTTTAACAAATCGAGTGTTAGTTGAGATACAAATGTAACTTTCTTAATTTTCTGATTTATATGCTCAAAAAATATTTATAGGTTTTCATATCATTAATTTCAATTTCATTGGCTAAGATCTCTTTTAGGCTCTTTTTATCTTCCTCATCATTAACAAATAGGATAATATCATTACCGTAGACAATAAGGATAGTTTTTGACCAACATTTGATTTCTTTATAAATAACGTGAGATTAACCCGACTTTAAAGCATCCATATTTTTAGTAGTAGTAAATTTCTCAAACTAAACATTTCAAAATTAATTTAAGTCATACAAGGATTTCTCAAGTTTAAAATTTTACCATCATTGTTGGTATCTCAAAATGTTGGCCATTAAAAGAGAAGCGTAATATTAAGTTAAGTGTTTCATAGATGAGGATGCTCAAGTGGATGAGTGGCTTTATTCTTCAAGATAAAATATGAAATAAGCATATACATGAATAGGTTGGAGTAGCTCCAATAGAAGATAAGATTATGGAGTCACCTTAAATGGTTTAATCACATAAAATGGCAGCCTTTTGATGACCCGGTTAGGAAAGTGTTGACATGTGTACTGTATGCAAACAAAAAGAAATTTTCACTCAAACCTTGTACCTGTCCGGTTGCACGTCAATTTCTCCACGGACGCCGCTCAAATCCTACGACACATTCTCTGCATGTCTTCGTATACCGACGCCAGTCCGCTGAGCGTCCTCTTCGTGCGTAAGTCCTGCATAAATCATGCACAAATCCTACTAAATCATGCTAAATCCTGCACAAATCTTATATCCCGACAGCCTTTTAGCTCAACCCTACCCAAATCTATATAAATCCTATATCCAAATGGCCTCGTTTAATTAATTGCAATTAATTAATATTAATTATAGTTGATTTTAATTTTGATTAATCATAATTAATTATTACTTATAATTATTTGTGATTAATCCCAATTAATTATTATTAATCATAATTAATTATTACTTTTAATTAATTACTATTAATATTAATTAATTATAATTAACGGTTGTTAATTAAAAGAAGAGAAAAGAAAGAAAAGGAATGTGCCTTGAGCCTCGTGCATTGCCTCAATATACGTGCCCTTGATGCCAACATTGCCTTCGTCGCCCCGACACAGCCGACATCACCTCTGGAAATCCCTGCGCAAAGGTATAAAGTTCCAAATCGTATCCTAAGTGCGTGTGACGTGCCGGGCAAACACCTATACACGTTTTTCTTAGTGTTGTAGGAGAAAACCTGATGTTATATCTGCGATGAGGCAGGTAGGCCCTGTGCACACTTTAGCGTGGCAGGGACAACTTTAAGTATATGTACGCAACTATGTGCCAGCGGGGAAACAACAATACATTTTCAAACAAGTACCTCTAAAAACCCATCAAAGCCTTTCTTAGTATGGTGGATTAAAAATCACTGTCATAGTGTCTTTGGACACCTACCATACACATTTTTCTTAGCGTGGTGGGAAGGTCCAGCTCCCCAAACTTCCCTCAAGCAGGGGATACGCTGGGGTGTTGCCGAAATTCAAAGTGAATATGCACATGATTGAATAATAAGGGACCTAATTCAAACTGAATTTGAACTAGACATCAGGGAACAAAACCCTAACTTCTAAAATGCACAATTAACTTAAAAATGCAAATCCTAAAATGCAATTCAAGTCATTCAAATAAATATGCATGAAGAAAAAATAGGGGACTTGCGATGAACAAGTCCTCGATGCGCACAAGCAATGAATGATAATTAATTTACAGCATCTAAGCAATTACAAGTGAACAAAAATCACCAACACTTGCAATTACATGGCACACAATGCATGATGTCGATTGATGCATGATAAATATAATGGACTCCTACAATAGGTCCCATGCAGTTAAGTGCATTGTACTTGCAAGCAACATCAACTGACTGCAGAATGCATGGATGTCTCCTACATACAACAACGAAAGCCTTAATACAAGAAATAATCAACATGCAGCTTGAAATAGTGATACACGCAAGCAATAACAGGAGGCCTATCATGTACGTAGAAGATTAAACAAAGACAATAACAGACATAAGGCACTGAATGTAGCGACGTCTTGAAGTCAACGTCAACAGCTTGCATGTAACTAATGCTACTACAAACAAGCACACAAATCCCACCTATGAATAATGAGGGTAGATATGATGCAAGTATGTATAACATGCAACAAATACTAGGGTGTCCATATAGTTGACAGTAATAGTACCATGCAAGCAACAACGAGCAACAAGCGGTGAATGTAATAATGCCCTACAGTCAACAACCATTCAATAGCAGGCAAATGCATTAATCCCTCGCAAGCAAAAATTAAGTGATCAATGTATAATAGTCACATCGGTAGTACCTTGTGAGAAGAAGGTACAGATGTGCATTGAATGACAACTTACCAGCCAACGTATATGGGGAATCAATGATGAATGCAGTTCACAATTGGTAGCCGACATCAACACGCAAGTGAATAAATAACCACCCATGAATGATAATTAATTGATGTACAACATCCATGCTTGTAGAAGATGTGTGATAGTTGCAATGCACGGGTGAAGTACGAAAAGCCTATAGTGAATGTTGTAATATCTCTACAATTGATATCAGTGTTAGTTCACTTGTAAATGAACACTACCATTCCCTGCAAGTATATTTGAGGATAACAACAATGAGTGTATCACAAGTAGAGCGGATCTCTTATGAAAACAAATACATACAACACCTACAAACAACTGTAGGAGAGTGGTTAAGTTATAAAAGCCCACCTATGGGTGATGACAAACAACATGCAACAGGTGCAAACACATAAGGGTTATTGTGAGAGATTCGTTGCACCTGATACATGTTGCCAACCAACAAGTGCAAGGTAATCGACAATAAATGCATGTCATTGGTGGTCAACAGCAACATGCAGATGAACAAACTGAACGGACACCTACAGCAACGATGATCGAGATGCTGCGAGTACGTTGGGTATAAAAACAACTCGATGTACGAAAGAAACCCGTTAATATATCGTCAAAGGAAAATTCCAACTACAACTCGAAATTTAATAATCTTATGAATGATTCTACAGAGTCAAAGGATGAGCAGTTGAAGAATAAGAAAGGGTGTCTTATTCTATCATCTCTTTGGAAATACTGAGTCTCCCGAACATATATTGCACTATTTGGGTGATGATCCGGAGTCAAGCCTCGCAACCCAATGTCCTACATGTGCAAGTCAAATACTAGAATTTCATTAAGACATTGTAGATGACCTTGCACTCTATCTTGTTTATGTTTCTACATGCACCTTTTCTTCTTCCTAAATAGGTTCATAGTAATTTGAAATGAGAAAATGTTTAAAATAATCTCTAGACTTTTTATGAGGTCAATTTTATCCTAAACACTTCAATATGCCCAATTTGGCCTCTTAGCTTTTCAAAATTGATCCAAATTAATCCTAAAGTTTGAATCCAAGGAGAAATTTTTTGATAGTTAAGGGACTAATTCAGATTAATTTTGATGAATTAAAGGACTAAATTGGTCTTCAATAATCAGGGACTAATATGGACACCACAAAAAGTTCAATGAACGTTTAGAGCGTTTTTCTAAACTTAAAATATTAAAATTTGAGAGGTTATAATACCAAAAATGTTGTAAGCGCACCAAAATGTACATGAATATGCATTTATAATTGTTGGTAAATTGCATCTTGATGGCCACATTAAGCACCAAATTAAAATTCGGACTACAATTTCCTAAAATTTGCATTTAAATCCCTCGATTTGTGCTGAGGTGCAGCACATGAAATTTATCAAGCACTGTTGTGAAGTTCACTGTTAATAAGACTTTGAAGGACTAAAATACTCTCTCATTCCAATTGCATCAAATCTTCTACATTCAGAGCCTACTTGCACCTAGGTTGTGTTTGAAAGGTCCCTTTACTATGTTGGGCTGCATGTACGTTTAGTTAGCAACGATAATTACTAGGGAATAATCAGTAGTTATTATTAAGAACCAATACATAATCCAACATAGAGTGGCCTATATACACTTTTTTTCAAATTTAAAAAAAAATCATGGTTGAGTTACAACAACAACAACAAGAAGCCTTTATCCTACAGTGGGGTTGGCTACATGAATCATTTTTCTCCTTTGTGTCCTATTAAGAGTCAAATTCTCAACTAAATCTAATAAAGAAATGTCATTTCTAATATTTTCTAGCCAAATCTTTTTAGGTCTACCTCTACCTTTCTTAATATAAGTCAAATCAAATACATCTACTTTCCTAACCGAGTCATCGAAAGGCTGTCGTTTTATGGTTGAGTTACAATTAGCCCCAAAATGTAGGGAGATAAATTCAATTTGCCCAAGTATTGTTTAGCATCTCATTCTTCTACATGTGTTTTTTTCTCATTCATGAATAGATTCCTAGTGATTTAAATACTTTGTTACTCATTTATGCATAATATAACCAGAAATATTTTGATTTACATAATCATGAGTTGAATGTTACCATCGCTCTGAAGCCAAATTTTCTTTCTAAATAATAAATATATTTGGAAGAGTTGATTTCCGCTAAATAAAAGAATCTAATCATTTATTACTCGATCTAAATCACCAATATAATCAATATTCTTGGCAGTATATAGACTAAGGGCTCACAAAATTTATTTCACCAGTAAGATTAATAACATTGTAGATCTTCACTTAATGGTTCTTTCAAAAGCTAAAAAAAATTTTACCTATATGATATACTATCAATTAACTTTTTCAAAGCATCAACATGTACTATGCTAATCTTCAAATCCAAAGACCACAAGCCAGACATAATGAAGTTGCACGTCATTGAAATAGGGTTAGCAAAGTTACCAAGATCCAACACGTTTCTTAATTTCCCAATAAGATTAATAATGGATGAACTGGGGAGTACAGAATATCTAAAGAGACAGATTAAACACAACCAAGTTAACAGTATTAATATCCCCAAGCATACTATTCTAATATATGTTAGACGAAATATTCTAAACATAGCTACAGTCAATAAGCGACCAGAATCAATCTCAATCAACAATGTTTGATCACTGCAACAGTTCTAACAGGCATTCCTCGTCATCATTTACAAAAAAGTTGAAGTCTGAGAAGACGAAATCCTCGAATTTAATTTTCTAAACGCAAAAGCTACAAATTAGCACTTGCTCAAAAGCAGCATAAGCAAAATAAAGAAGACATACTATCAAAACACTCCCAAATCTCATTTCGAAGTTCCCACGGCCCGAACCTCCGCGCACATACTAACTGCAAACTACTTAACAAAAAAATGCAACAAAATGGACTTTCGAAGAGAAAAATAAAATAAAGAAGAACTAGACTTACTCCGAGAGGTCTCCTAGCTGCCTCAAGACTCCAACAAGGCCAGCCATTGCCACTCCCTCGAGAAGTGCCTCTGGATCATCCTTGTTCGCCGCCTGATAGACCTCCGGATTCGCTGCAGCATACTCGTTCCTTATCCGATACCTCACCATCGGCATTTCAGCCACCTGCTAAAGAACCCCAAGAACGAAAAAACTAGGTTCACAAGGTCACGCCTCCGCCATTTCTGCTCTGCTACGATAAGACCTCTCTCTCTCTTTCCGCATAAATATTCGGAGCTGGGTAACGGCGAGAGCGGGGAAGGACCGATGAGGCCATTTAATTATCGGAAATAACTATTCCGGTCCCACCACTGAGGTGACCCACCAAACGGCGCGGCTTTTTTCATCAGGGAACCCATGATTTTTAGACGTCGCGCGAAAAATTATTAAACGGTAGCTCTTATAGATTTATTATTTTCAAAATTTAGAAAAAAATCAAAATAATTTTTTAATTTTCCATGAAGGAACAAAATAATTTTTAATTATATTAAAAAATATTTTAATTTTCCTATTTATAAAAATAAATCAAAAAAATTTCATGATGGGACTATATTTATTGTTCTTTAAAGAATTGAAAGATCAAAATAATTTTTTTAAAATGTTTTAATTTTCATATTTATAAAATAAATCAAAAAAATTTCAAGATGGGACTATATTTATTCTTTTTTAAAGAATTGAAAGATCAAAATAATTTTTAAATATAGTTAAGAATTATTTTGATCTTTCATAAAAAATTGAGGAGCAATTTTAACAATCTTAATTATTTTGATATTAATAAATTTCAATTGATTTAAAATTAAAATTATTGTGTCCTAGAATATTCCCGGCTGTAGAGAATATAAACGTCTTAGCTTTATAAGAAGATTCATAACACATATAGATAAAAGAGTATGATGTGTCGTTCATAAAAGACACCGGAGTTTTTGTATTGAAACCCCTAAAAGGGGAAGAAATCATGGGGCTTGACCCAGCTTGAAGGAATACAGTAGTGTTTGTAGTCGATTACAAATGAGGCACTTCCTTGGAGGGAAGGTCTTGGCTTGATGCAATAAATATGCATCATATAGAGTACATTATATGGTGGGAATTGGAAGAATCGGTATTAACAAGTTTGTTTGGTCGGCATAACCATAGTCGGTGGGAGACAAAGGTTGAAAAGACCGTAGTTGGGTGACTGTGGTAGGAAGGACCGTATTCAGCGGGCAACGGAGGTCAGAATGACCGTTGTATCGAGATGGAGGTCAAAAGGTCTATAATAGACATGCAACAATGATCAGAAAGACCATAGTCCGACGACAGAGGTCGGAAAGATCGTAGTTTATCTTTTGACTCCATGATGAGATTTATTAGCTTGATGGATTAGATAATGAAAGAAGTCAAGACTAATAATCAGAGTGAGGGGAGATGAAATTGATAGGGATCTACATCTACTTTTAAGGTTGAAGCCTATAAAAGTTCAAACTCAATTTTGTCATGTTGATATAAATTCCCAGTAGGTCTACACCAGCCAGAAGATGAGAACTAAGTGTCATGCAAGAAAAAAGTGCTACACCATGGGAGCCACCTCTTGAACCTTATATGGGACAAAGTGCTACATGACGGAAGCCACCACTTAAACTTGTAAGGGCCACCTCTAGAATCTTATCTGTTTGGTGGATAATTCTAGGATAAAGATACTGACAAGGATGTTAGTTACTTAAGTGGAGGAGATTGTGAAACCCCTTAAGTAAAAGAAGTTAAATTCTTAAACATCGAGGCACCTTTTGATGTAATGGCTAGAATTTTTTAAAGAAACTTCTCAGTTAAGTGTATTCATCCCAGGACAATTCAGAGATGGGTGACCTATTGGGAAGTTTAACCAACACGATAAAATCATGAACCTCTTAAGTTAAAGCAGACAATATTTTGATAGTTAAGAGTTTGAGCTGTTACAAAGCCTCCTTATTTTTAAGGTGCAGTGAAACCTCAAACAATTAAAGATTGGTTGATATTATTTGTTGTACTTGTAGGTTCAGCATCTGGAATGACATGTTTCACCCGATTGGAAAAAGCCGCAATAAGAGAGTTTGGGGAGACAAGAAGTCCTTTGATAGCATGTAATGTCCTAAAATAAAAAAGTGTTGTTAGTTGTGTTCTTGTCCGTTGAAGAAGTCGAGAGCTGGTGGTAAGGCCAATAGTGGAAGAAGTTTCATAACTGGGCAAATGCAACAATCTCATTGGAAGATTTCATTGAGATATTTAGGAGTTGTTTGTGTCGCCATCTACTAGGCAGTAGATGCATGAGTCATTTTTAAGGTTAGTCCAAGGGCACAAGATAGCATGAGTCTAAGTTCATAATTTTTACCGTGTATACTTTCGAATTAATTAGTACTTAAGTCTCTTTCCAATAACTCTTTCATTCAAATTTATTTTCTCTCTTTGATATTAAATGAGATAGTTCGTAGCCCAACTTCAACCTATAGAATTGAGCTCAAGCTCAAGTTGGAAGCGACTAATGAGGTCATTTGTCCATTAATTATGCTTAATCAAAGACAATATTCACATATAACATGAGATTACTATTTTTGGAGATTTGAATTCAACCCTAATCATTATCTTAAACTTTTATGTTAATAGATATCCATTAACTAATAGATTGGACTCAATTTTGCCCACCCTCACAAATGACATTAAATATATTACATTTCTCGAACATTTTGGAAATTTATTGCTTAATTATGGCTGATATATATACCTCAGCACCGGCCTATGATCAACCCACCTGAATTTCCTAATCTCTAATCAAATATGAAGCATTGCAAGATGCATTATACTCGTAACATTCTAAACAATTCAATTGATTGCTTATAATTTTTTTAAGAGTTTTAAAAATATTGCTATTTTTTTATTTATTTTGAGTATTTAAAATGCATTAGGGTATGTTTCAAAGCCCAGATTTATCCTGGGATTAACATTATATATAATTAATATCCTAAATTGCACAATGTAAGTATAAATTCAAAATTTTTGAAGTCCACCATAACGTATTTTATATCATAATATTATATCATATGTAGGGGTATCAATTTCGGGTCACGGGTCGGGTTCGAGTCAAACCCGGAGCTGACCCGGTAGTACTCGGGTCAACCCGAACCCGACCCGGTTTTGCAAACGGATGATTTTTCGGACCCGAAATCGACCCGCTTCGGGTTCAGGTCAACCCGACACGACCCGATTTCAATCGAGTAGATGTAAAAAAATTCTTCCGTTCACGCTCTTACTCAACCAAATCTCGTAAATCCATCTTCTGTTCGTGCGCTTACTGAGCCAAATCCTGAATATCAACCGTATGTTCGTGGTTACTAAGCCAAATCCTTTAAATCCACCATCCATTTCAATTCCGCATTCCGGACACTGGACAGTTCGTGCGCCAGACACTGCAGCGGTGCGACGCGAGTCATTCGAAGCAACAGCGGGGAAGTGCGTCAGCGGGGGCAGGCGGGTCACAAGGCAGCTTGGTGGGCAGACTGAAGCGGACGCGGGCAGCTACGGTCAGGGTCGGGTCAAAAACTCTAACCCTAAACCGACCCGGTTCGGGTTCGGGTCAACTCGAACCCGAAATTTTCGTGTCGGTTTTTCAGGTCATGTCCAATATTGACACCCCTAATCATATGTTCTATCCTCTTGATTTAAGAATTTTTAAAATTTGTTATTGATGAAAGCAAAAATTTCTATCTTCATAAGAAAAAAATTAATACTGGTTTTAAAATGGCATTTCTTCCAAGAAAATGAAATAACATGTAATACCAAATTTGCTTGTTTTAGAAGGCCAATAATTAACTCTCAAGATCCCACTATAGATTACTTTCAACAAGAGGCATGAGTTCTCTTTTTGTTCATATTAAGAGTCTAAGTTAATAAACTCCCATTGGACCACATAATTGACTTGCTAACAACTACATTCATGCTGGTCACCAACTTCTCCACTTACCCATCCTAGGTTTCTAGTACCATCATGAGTGAAATCACTAAGACAAAAGTGTCACAAACAATTAATCTTTTATAAAAAAATTTAGGAAATTATTAGAGAATATTTTGCTCTTTTATTATTTCTCAATAATCTAAATTATCTCCATATGTAAAAAAATAATAATAAATAATTTTTTCATCAAGTTAATTAATATTTTATTAAACAAATATTTATAATATGAAGGGAGATTTGCATGCATACAACAAATTTTTTATATATTTATATATTTACTTATATAGCATTCAACTGTCAAAATCATATCATAACATAAATCATAAAAATGTATAAGTTATTTTAAATAAATTAATATTAATGATATTATTTATTTTATTTAACATTTATCATGCATCTCCCAACTATAAATTGTATGCTACTTTAATAATGACAAATAAACTTTTTTTTTTTTTTTTTTACTCTTCTTGATTGCAATGGAGAGATTATATTTTTTATTCAGCCTTTGTCGTTAAGCCTCTGCATCTTTGGCTACACTCAAGATGGATAAAGCGAGAGAGAGACTAATGAAATAGGAGGTTACATAGCTTAGCCATGAGGAAGAAGTGCTCAAAGCATTGCATTGCTAAGGAAGTCTTCATCAAGCAGACAAAACTCAGAAAATAAGAGTTTATTTATATGGTAATTGAATAGAGTGGGGGTAGAATTTGAGAACTTTAATTATATATGTAAAGGAAATGAAAAAATTATCAAGAAATTAATATGAATTTAGTTCAGTAGCTTCATCTCCACTATCAAATGTGTGGAGCAATCGAAGGTTTTGTTTGGGATAATTTTTTGCTTCTTTATAGAACTATTTTTTAGTATAAAAATTTCTAATTCAAAAAAATTTTGTATTAAAAAATTAGTTTAGAAAGCATCAAAAAAGCTATCCCAAACGAAGCCTAAGTCTTTATTTGGAATAAGTTTTTCTTACTTTTTTTCTTTTCAGACCGCAACTAGAATTTAATAATTTATGTTTGGTCTCTGTTTATTCGTTGCTTTCAAAAAAATTAGATAATAGGAAGCTACTTTCTACAATAGTTTTTAAAAATTACTAAGGCCTAGTTTGTTTGGGCGTTTTTTTGTGCTTATTTCTTTTTTAAAACGGTAAAGTTATTTCTTCTTTACTGTTTGATTCCTCAAACCATGTTCTCAATAACACCATTTTTTTTTCATTTTTCTGCTGTTTTGAGAAAGCTTTTTGTATGTGCTTTCTCAGTTAGAAAATTCCTTTTTCTGAACCAAAGTTTCTTAAAACTGTCTTTTACAAAAATATGGAATAACCAAACCAAGCCTTAATCTATAATAGCTTTACAAAGCAATAAAAATATCATCTCAAACGAAGCCTAAATGGGCTTTCTAATGATGATAGTGTAATGATGAAAATATTCCAACAATAGAGTTTCTATTAGTAGTCTAATGAGAAACATTTTTGTTAGGTAAGATATGAGTGTAAATCATGCGGAGTCGTGGTCACTCAACTTTCGATTTGAGCTTTAGGCTTCGTTTGGGACGACTTTTTTATTGCTTCTTAAAGCGGTTTTTTAGTACAAATATTTTAATTTTTATACTAAAAGCTACTTTAAGAAGCAAGAAAAAAATCGTTCCAAATGAAACCTTAATCTCACTAATCCTGTCCATCAGGATTCTCGAATTTGTTTTCAACTAGTGCTTTATGAGTTAGAGTACAATCATCTGAAAATAACACTAGGTGTCTAGGATTTTTTTTGTCTCATTAACTGTGGATAAAATATTTACTAAAAATTTTTGTTAATATAAATACTGATTGGTTGGTTTTTTAACATATTTTTAGTTAGAGCTATGATTAATAAAAAAATTTAAGGAATTACTGTCATTTATCTCAAAAATTTGGACATTCCATACTATAGTCTTAAGACAATTAAATGATGATGAATGAATTCTTTATGATCAAACACTCCGTCGCCCGACTATAGTACTCTGATACCTCTGACTATTGATCTTTGACCAAACAGGTAGGCCAATGATCCCTTAAAAACATCTCTTATGCCATTCGGTTCTTCCTACCAATCATATAATGTGTTCTACACAATGTATATTTATTATGTTGTGTCGATGTCTTCCTCTGAGGAAGGAAATCATTTGCAATAAGTGACGTATACAAGTAGAATCATTTCAATTGGGTTAGTTCCCGTGATTTTACCTCGAGTTTTTAAAGTAAAAAAATATATTATCTCTTATGTTTCTTGCACCCATTCTTTCTCTTTATTTGTGTGCATGTTGGTCTTCGTATAAAACTAGGACATTAAACTATTTATTTCTCACCGCCACGAATGTCGTAGCACACAACAATATTTAATTGCTATATTAATTTCTTCTTTAAGTGTTTCAATTATGAGTATTTGAATTAATTAATGGATTTTTAAATAAATTTAAAGTGTTCAATTGCACACCCATTTGAATCCTCGTTTCATAATTGAATCAGTCTTTCACTCTTTATTTGTTCCAACTTCCTAAAGATCCAAATAATATTCTTATTATTTTGTTAATTTTGTGATAGTCCTCCATTATTTGAACATTTTAATATGAAAAAAATATAAAAATTTGAGATTCTTAAAAGGTGTTAACTCTTAATTATGATATATTATATTAACTGTTGATTTATCTTCTTTGAATTATTTATAATTAAAAGGTTAATTTCTTTCGATATTTTTTATTTTCAACCAACTCTTTTACCCAGTGATCTTTCACTTATTTAAAATTTCAAAACTATTAAAATATACTAGAAGTCCCACCTCGGTATGATGTTCATAATGTCAAAGTTTTAAATATCAGAAAGCCATAATTCCAATAATGAAAAGACAAAAAGGAGGAAGAAGAAAAAAAAAATAGGCTTAAAGCAAATGTAAGAACATAAAATAATCAACAAAAATTATTCTAGGGGTGTCAATAAATGATATGATCCGCTAACCAGGTCCGAAAAATTCAGGTTGATTGATCATTTTAATAAATGAGTCAAGTTCGAGTTCAATTTTCAACCCGTTTATTAAATGGGTGATGTTTGAGTTGACCAATGAATCAATTTTTAATCCAAAAAAGACCCGTAGTGCTATGAGTCATGCTAGACAGTTATTTCTTATTTTTCATGCTTAACTTGAAGGGTTGCATCTTTTCGTGATATATAAGTATCTTTTTGTTAGTTTTAAGTAAAGAATGAAGTGTAAAGTGAGGAGTTTTATATGTGGAATATGATTGTGATGATTAATCGGGTGGTTTTTTGCCTCAAACCGCAAGTTTGTTGTTCTTACTGGGAAGTGCTCGGGGTTTACCCCTTGCTTAGGTTATGGTGCTTTGCACACTACAGGAAAATCACTCATTTCCGGCGGCAATTTCCTGCGGTTTTGTAATTTAGCGGCAGTTTTCCGGCGGTTAAAATGCCGCCGGAAAAAACCGCGTAGGAAAGTAAATTCCGGCGGTTTTTTCCGGCGGCAAATTATTCCGGCGGTTAGCCGGCGGTCTTAAACCGCCGGTCAAATTAAAAAAAAAACAAACTTGAGGGCCACAGCACCCCAAACTATTCGCGTAGCGCTGCGAGATGGACTGGACGATTTTCTCTCTCGTTTTTCTGAAGGGTTGCATCCCTTGGGGTTATTTACTTGGCTTTCTCTTGTATTGCTATAGCATTAGATATAAAGAATAGTTCATGTGAGAAGAGAAGTAAGGAGTGAGTGAGAGAGAAGAGAGATATGTATTTATTTCTCTCTATTTTCATAGTGAATTTCTTGGTGTTATGTGGTTCCGTGACTTTTTCCCTATTTTGCCTTTTCCATGTAAATTCTGGTATACTTTATTTTTTCATTGCTTTTACTTTCTTGTATGTTTCATCATTGTGTGTTTACTCCTCGTCATCCCCAGCAAGAGAGACGCGAAAGAGTGTGGGAGAAGAGATATGTACAATTTTCCCTTCTCCCAAACTCTATAGTGAATTTCTTGGTGTGGTGTTGCTCCATGATTTATTTTCGGTTTCAGATTTTTTCACGTTAAATCATGGTGTTCTTCTTCTTTGCAATTTTTTTTTTTTTTTGTGTTCATTGCATGATTTTATCCCAACAACAACTATCTAACTCTTGTGCTTCCATTTATCTTCTAATCAGATGATAAAAATCCATAAAATGCAAGGTTAAGAAAGAGAATGAAGGTAATTGAAGACCAAAATAGTTGTTCATTACATCATTCATTCCTTCATACTCTCCAAAAATATATTAAACATTTAATACTTATTTATTTATAAACTACAAAGGCACTTTAAAAGTTACTAACACAATCTAATTACAAATTGCACTTATAGACCCTTGCATCAGATTACTGGCAGAAGTGGAGGCCTCGTAGTCTCATCAATCTCAGCTTCATGAATCTCTCCTCTTCTGCATTTCCGAATCTCCAGGTCATCATCTAGGTCTACTGCGGGGTGGATATTTGCTGAACCAAAACTTGGCATGGCCATCACTTGCTGATTTTCCCCCTCCTCACTTTCCTTCCTATAAAATCTACCATCCTCAACATCATAAAAGTTCCCAGTCCTCACTTCCTGAGCCAGCGAGCATGACCAACAGAATAGCCATTGCATGAAATCAGTGAAATCTGGATACCCACAGCAGAAATGGTTTTCAGGAAGTTTGAATTTCTTTCTCATTTGAATCCTCCAAAATCCTCCATATAGAAGCCCAAACATGCAAAGAACAATGCCTGTAATCCCCACCATGTATCTAATTACAACATCATTGATATTGAGAGCTGTTACGGAGAACACTATAACTGTTGCACCGCAGAGAAATACGAATGTGAAGATGTGAACATACATGTTACCAAATCCAAGCCTCTCCATGTTCCATCCGAAAACGCAGAATGTGCAGAAGAAGGAGAGAGAAGCAACAGCTTGATAATCCCAGCAATCAAAGAGTCCTCCAATCCACTCTGGTGAAGTATCCACCACCCTATTGCTGTATTGCCTTATCTCATTCGAATTCTCATCTCTGCTATTTATTGTCATGGCTACCTGACTCACCGCTTCTTCATCGTTCTCAGCTTCAGTCTTCCTTCCAAGAGGGCCAAAGAATGCATAAATACCAGCAATGACTGGTGCTACAGTTCCTGTAGCAATGCAGATAATCTGTGGCCAGGCAGGCCTCGTGTCGCTTGAATATGCCCAAAAGAGAGTACAAAGGCCATATTGAGAGAAACAAGTTATGTGCAGGAGGACAACAACAAACATCATATGAGCTCTCTCATGTGGCTTTCTTGTTCCATTCTTGCAGTATATCTTTCTCAGCTCCAGAATGTCCTTTGATCTCCACTTACATAAGAGAACCAAATGGTGGAAGATCCTCGGGTGCTGATACAAGCACATGATGGTGAAGAGAGCATTGAGGATTTGGTTGAAGATCTCTGTCCATTTCTTTCGAACCGAGCTTTTCGGGATGGCATTGTTGAGGAGCCCAACCATGAACAGGAAGAGCACAACAAGGCAGGCAGCAACAAAGAAGAACCAAACAAGAAGAGCTTTATTCATTGGGTGCTTGATCCAGTTCTTGCAGTATCTAACAATGGCTTCCCAGTTGATCTTTCTGATAAAAGGGATATGGAAGCGGTGGCTCCCATTTATGGTGCCGGTTATGAGATCAGGATGTGAAGAGCTGCTCCTTGTGTTCTGGCTCCGACTTCTGTTGAAGAAGTAGAAAGGATGGATTCTGGTTACAAAATTGAATTTGTGAAACCAATCTTTCGATGGATTAGCTTTCAAAAAATGCAGGAATCCTTTCTTGCGGTGATTCTCATTGAGGAGAACCTTTGTAACTGTTGGGATGTCTTCGAGATTTACATTTGTGCTAACTGTTGTTGCTTCTTTTGTCTCACCAATGGCACTAGACTCCATTCTTTTGTGCAACAAGTAATTGATAGTAGATATCCTGCATGAGTTTGTATGTTAGAATGCCAAATTTTGTTTAGAAATCTCTGTTATATTGATGAGAAAAATGAAATCATCAATTTTCAAGTTCTAAAATATTTATAGAGATTAGAAACAGCAGCCAAGCAAGCTCTTTGCATGTATCTTGAAAAAAAAAAACAAGGTTCATCTTGTGATAACCAAAAACTGACCTTAAAAGTTATCTAAGGTTGATAGAAGCTGTGCTTAAGGCAAAATTATTACGTGCGGTCACCGGACGCCATCCGAAGGTCAATCCAGACACACCACATCATCAATTCACTGTGTATCATTGTGCATCGGGTGACAAGACGCATCATAATTGGCCTCCGAATGGATCGTTGACCGCACATAATAATTTTCCGTGCTTAAAGCTCTTAAAGTAGAAATTTGGGCATTTAAATTTAGCCAACAAAACAATAGAGTTCAGGGGGGTAAATTAACAGCATAGTTGAGTCACATATAAGTTGTTGAATATCATCATAGACGTCAGAAAATTCAAGAATCTGTGAGGATGAGTAACCAAACATAATGTGCCATATATTCCAGGCATAATCCAAAACAGAAAATGCTGCGGAAGGGTAGAGCTAGGCAGACAAAATATAAATTTTGACAAAAAAACTGTCAACAATTGCACAGTAGCAAGAGAAGGGAACCAGGCAAGCAATCCAAAACAAAAATTTTCCAAGCAAAATCGATACAATTCCCCAATCCAAAAAAGTTAAAACAAATAAGTCAACACAGTGGCAAGAATGCCAAAGAGTAGAAAAAATCCAGTTATATGAAGAAAAAAAAATCAACAATAAGAGCAAGTATTTCACTTGTTAGCTTAAATTTTTTGCATTTTTGACGAATTTCAATCTGATTTTTTGCAATCAGAGTTGTAACATTGTTGTCTTCTACATTAAATATACATCAATTTCTTTCAACCCATATATAGTGTAGAGAGTGTTGGTGATGGAAGTAAAATACAATAATGAAATCAACATGAAAAATATAATATAGGGGAAAGTAAAGGACGTCAGGATTTAATGTGGAAAAAACTGAAATCGAGAAAAAAAAATCACGAAGCCACACCATACCAATAAATCTAATATGAAAATTGGGAGAAATAACTTGAGATCTCTCTTCTCTCTCACTCTGTCCTTGTTTTTCATCTATCTTACACCATTCTTACACAAAATAAAAGAAACAGGCAAGTAAATAATATCAAGGGACGCCACCCTAAAAAAAAAGAGAAGGAAAACTATCTGGTCTGCCTCGCAGTGTTGTGGCGCTCAAATTCTAATCTAGAGAGTTGCAACGCTCTGCTCTCTGTCATTTTTCCTAGCAAACTTTGTAACACTAGGGCACTTGGGAATACAATGCCGGGACGCTTGGGTACACAACGCCAAGACGTTGTACAAAAAATAAATTCCGAACACAATCATATTTTAGATAGACTAACACAGAGATGTGTGTGGAAGTAGAGAAAAATCTCTTAGTGAACTTATAAGTGATATTGTCAGCATGGATTAGAATTTGAGAGAAATTGCCTCGCATGTGAAAGAATTTTCCATCATGAATGTAGGCTTTCAGAATATTGAAAGAGAATGGGCATTCAAAGAAAAGATAAAAATGGGCGCCTTCTTTCAAAAAAGAGTATATGTCATCACTTGAAATGACTCTAGATGGGAGAGCATCTTTTGGTTTTAAGACCACCAAAATAAATTTTTGAAGCCATGATACCAATTTTTGTAACCATAAACTTTGTACCAAACATATTTTATCCTATTAATTTTGTCATATTGATGGCCAGCTAAGCCGGTTCAGTCTATCAACCTAGCACCAACAAGGGGGCCCAATCTAGCTGGCAAGCAGAATATCCTTGTGAGCCCCACTAGTGTGGACAGCGGGAAAGGAGTTTCACAACCTGACCCGATATGACCTGATAGCACACAGATCATACCGTGTTCAATTGTGGCAAGGTTGACCCAATGATCTGGTCGGAGAAGTATTGAAATAAAACTTTTAATTTATACACTACACAGAATTACTGTTTAATTGCAATATAAAAAAGAAGACCAGTGAATCTTAATATTATTTTTTATACATCATTCAAAACATATAAAATTTGAAATCTATCTACAATAGCACTTGACAACAGAGAGCACAACAAAAAATAAAAGTCAAGCTTGCAAAAAAATCAAAACTAACTAAAGCAACCTACAACACAAATTGAAGTATGCTATCCAAACTACTTAGCTCGATCCTTACCCTTCCCCAAACTTGAAAACAAAAGCAAAAGAAGGGATGAGCTAACACGGCTCAGTAGGTTATTGTAGCCTAAAACATAAATCAATAACCAAAATAAAAAGAATTGATCTGAATTATGTAATGAAATTGAATACAATTAAATAAATACAAAATTATCTGAATTATAAACAAACACTTCATAACGATTATCAGAATAGCTCTTAAGACCAAATTTTCATGTATCTTCGTGACCAAAATCCCACTTCGGGCGTCAGGGCACAGACATCATAACACTTTGATAATAAAATCCCACCTCAGTCGCCTATTGGCGGCGACATAATGGAATCCCACATCGGTCACCCACTAGCGCCAGCATTACAGAATCTCACATCTATTGCCTACTAACGCTGACATCGCATCACAACACTTTACAACATATTTTTAAATGCATTTCATTAATTAAAACATAGTGTGACTCAATTCAGATATTACCAAAATGTTGTAATGGTAGACAACAAAAATAATACTGAGGAAAAATTTACAATTTCCAAACATAATCAAATTACTAGAGATCGTGTAAAACATCATTATGAAACTTTAATTAAATTGAAGCATTATGTTTAGATTTCAAAATAAATTTTTGAGTAGGATAAAATGGCTGTTTTTTCAAAATCATCAGACACAAAATTTTCAAAATATACTCAAAATATTTTTAATCAGAACATCTATAACATATAAAAAATTACGCGATAAAAATTTTTCCAAAACAAAGTTAACAACAATTTCGGTAACCGAAATACAAATTTGATAAAAAAAATATCAACAAATACAAAATTATTGAAATATGAAATAGGCACCTACCTTGAGACAAGCAAATTTTCCAACTGGGCCAACGGACAAAAATCGTTCTACAACCAAACCTAAGCTTTTCTCCCTTCTCTCTCCTCTATTTTCTCTAAATTCCCCAAAAAAACTTCTTTGTTAATGGGAATGAAAAGAAAACAAAGGGATTTAATAAATAATAATAGTGGAATTATATTTTTATATAAAATAATAATATAATAATATATTCTAATGATTTTTTAGTATAAAATTCATAAAAATTCTTTTGGGGATTTCAAAAATTATAAAAAATATACATAAAAAGCCCATTTTATTTAGAAAATTCTAGTGAAATCAGTTTGAAAAACAGACACCTGGCGATCCCAAAACCCCCACTTGTACCGACAAGTGCCAATTTCTTAAGAAATTTTACTAGTGCCCAAAAATTATGAAAAAAATTAGAAAAACTAAAACACAATAATAGAGATATTATGGAGAAGAAGGCTTATGATTTGAGCTTATAATGAATGCTAAAAAAATTCTTGACTGTTATAGTTAAAATGTAAATTTCAAAATTTTAAGTTATAACAAGGAGAGAGGGGGGCTCAAAGGAGATTAATTCTACCTTTAATTACTTACCATAGAAAATCAAAATTAGGAGGAAATTAGGAAAGTTTATTTAGGGAAAGCTAGATGGCTTATTTGAACTCAGTTTTGAAAGAGAATTAGGAAAATTTATTTAGGTAAAACTAGAGGGCTTAACGAAGCCTAAGTTTATTCATCCTGCTCAATCAGCTTACATCCAAGTGAGAGATATTTCTGAAAATATTATTCTTGTTAGGGTGGAACATCAGGTGATGAAATCAAGAATTCAAATGAGGGAATAGGCGAAAGAGTTTACGAAAACTTTTGCAAGCTAGAACATCTTTTATATAGATGATAGCAAGAGAATCTAAGAACAAAAAAAAAATTCAAATTATATATAACTACGCAGCATTTTCACAAGCCAAGCCACCTAATTATTTTCCCACGCACAACAAATGGCTCCACCATGTTAAACCAGGCCTGCATATATTGTGCAGAACTTAACAAATAAGAAACAAATTAACAATTATTGGCATGATCAATTCCATGATTTTTTTAAACTTTCTCTCTGTTTCAATTCCTAATTTAATTTTCTTTCTGGAGTTTTCATCTCTCTTTCACCTTGTTTTCTTCGTTCCTTGTTCGATTTAACAATTGGCAGCTCTTAATCCAAAAGCTTAAGATGCTTCCTTCGCTGGAATCTTTTTTTCCTCTTATTTTCATATTTTATTTTACTATTTCATTGTATACTGTTAGAACTGTAACCCTTTGCTCTTCTCCAAGTAATTTGGTGATCACCATCCTTGTTGTCAACCCTCCTCGTGTGTTTATGAGTTTAGATCAAAAATATCAAATTAGGCCTAACATAAAGCCAAATTCACTTACAAATTGGGCTTCATTTGGGACAGCTTTTTTATTGATTTCTAAAACAAATTTTTAGTACAAAAATTTCTTATTCAAAAATGTTTTGTACTAAAAAACTTTTTTAAAAAGTAACAAGAAAGCTATCTCAAACGAAGCCTTAATTACTCTTTATATCAATGCAATTTTAATCATCTAATATGGATTAAGCTCAATACTCTCATGCTGGATTGACAATTTTACATAAACTTAAAAACTACTTGAAATCTGTGCCGGTTTCGAGTCCATTTGAAATTGATTTGTTTTTTCCGAGTCAATTTCAGGTTGTAATCCATGTTCTACATATTCATGCATTCAACAGTTGACTTTGTGCTCACATAATTCTAATCTTTTGTGATTTCGAATCGATTGGAATCAAGCCAAGTCAAGTCGAACTCATTTCAAGTTGACTAACAAATCGACTCTTTATGGGTCAAGTCAACTTGACTCAAAATACATTTGGATTCAAAGAGAGATCAAGTTCGGACTGATACATTTGATAGCCCACAATCAGTATTTACATATTTTGGCAGTGTTATAATATATACTGCTCCATGAATTAACACTTAAGTACTTAAACAACCCAAAAGAGAAAGCACGAAAGATCACAACAAACAATAAAATAAAATAAACTAAACAACAATTTAAACAGCAAGAGAATCAGACAAGATACATGTTAATTTTTCTTTCCTTTCAACAGTTCTAATAAACAGTTCTGATCAAATAAGCTCAATGAAATATTCAAATAAAATTCATTTTCAATATTTCTTTCTCAAACTTTATATATATTTTCCCATCCCAAAATCCTTGATTCAACGCTGTAATTCTTTCAGAAATCAATCCAGTAAACTGTTATTACCAAATGAACATGTCTAAAATAAAACCTTCTGTTCTGGTAATAAGCCATCAACACACGAAAGAGAGAGAGAGAGAGAGAGAGAGAGAGAGAGAGAGAGAGAGAGATGCATCACGTACCTTTGAAGAGCACAGGCTAATTAAGGAGAGAAATCTCGACTGCTCTCCCTTGCTCCTCTTCTCTAGCTTGTCAGAAAGTCAGCGAATGGTTTTTCTTCCTCAGTCTATTGTAAAGAGGGAAAAATATATGATTTACTTATAAAATCAAGAGAAGAAAGGGACAATCAAGCTTGTTAATTATAATGATAACGCAATAATACTAATTCCAAATATATATTAATCATGATTTCGTTATCAGATAAAGGTTAAAGAGAAACTACTTCATTGTCCGTTCTTATGGAAGCGCTTACAGAAAGCGCTTTGGAACACGAAGAAAGTACACAATTCTCCTTGGCCTATTGGTTGAGAGTTTAGGCTTCCAACTAAGAAGTCCAAGGTTCGAGTCTTTGTGTATGCGTTGTGTGTGTGAGTTTGCCTTAAATGGCCTAAATGTCCCAAAAAAAAAACACGAAGAAAGTAGTAAGAATGAGTCAATTTCTTTTTGGGAAATTTACATACATACCACTTTATAACATCCTATTTATATATCTAACACCTAAAACTTTAATATTACATCCATACCACCCTATATTATTTTAATATCAAATATACCACTTATATTTCTTTCCTACCACTCATATTTTGTATGAAAATGAACTATGGGTGGTATTTATGTAATATTAAAGTTTTAGGTGTTAAACATGTAAATAGAATAGTATTAAGTGGTATGTATGTAAAACTCCCTTTCTTTTTTAATGAAATTTACATACATAACATTCAAAAATTAAAATTTATGTATTTAACCTCTAAATTTATTTACTCACATAACATTTAAAATTTAAATATCAACAAAAACGAGGACCTGCGCAGAGAAAACAAGCAATCCAGTTCTCTTGTATAACTTTGTATGGTATTCAATAATGTTTCTTTTGTAAATTAGCAGCTTATATATGCTGCTTGTAACACTTTAATAGAAGAACTAGAAAATGTCATTAGTATCCCTATAGTACTACGGCAAATTACTTAAGTAGTGGGAATTTGATACAATGAGATGGACGCCGAACTTCACCTATGATAAAGGTAGCTTGATCTATTAAAGCTTCAGCAAACTTATTTTTGCATTTAGGAAGTACAACCACATCTACAAGATGATTTGGAAGTTTAGTGTAAACAATACCAAAAGGGCAAATGCCAATAGAAAGATTATGCATTAAATTGTAAGCAAATTTCGTCTGTCCTAACATTTCATCCTAAGATTTTGGTTTACCTTGAACTAGACAACAAAGCATGTTTCGATTGTGCTCTTATTGCTTCTTAAAACAGCTTTTTAGTTCAAAAATGTCTTGAATTTAAAAATTTTTTAATGTAAAGTTGCTTTAGAAATAGTAAGAAAGGTATCCCAAACGAAGCCTTTTACAACAACTTTTTAGTACAATTTTTTTTTTTAAATCAATGAAAAAACAATGGTTAAAAGTTATCTCGAACGAAACTTTTTTTTTGATGGGACATATTTTGGCCGCAATTTTTTTTATGTTTTTTGTGCTAAAAATTTACTGTATAAAGAAAATTGTTCTGGACCAAGCCTAAATAATAAATAAAAGATATAAAAGGCTGATGAAGAGTACAAATATTCATCGACTAATTTATATCTCTTTGATATAAATGAGCAAGTGAATGCATTATTATACACAACTAATCTTCTTTGAATTGGTCATCATAATGAGAAGCGCTATTCCAAATGAGTAAATCAATGACACTATTTTGATGGATAATATCAAATAAAATAACATTGATTAAGTTAAATATTATTCTTGAACGTTTAACGCATAAAATAATACTTTAGATAAATTCACACACCAAAATATAATCATAATTTTTTTCGGAAAAAATAGCACAAAAATTTCTAAAATACTTTTCTAATTTTTATATTACTGTTAATAAAGAGACTGATAATAAATCTGGCTTGTCAAAATATTTAAATGAGTCTTATCTTAGAAAAGTAAGAATAAAAATAAATAATCCTATAAAAAACACCTTACAAAAAAATTTAAGATTTCATTTGAGATAATTTTCTTATTGCTTTCTAAACCAGTTTTTTTTAACGAAAAATTTTTGTACTAAAAAGTTGTTTTAGAAAGTGGTAAGAAAGCTATCTCAAATGATTCCGTTTGAGACAGCTTTCTTACTCTTTATTTTTCAGACCGTAACTATAATTTATATTTCACTATTATTTTTTCATTACTTTTTAAAAAAATTGATACGAAAAAGTTATTTTCTACAATAATTTCAAAAAATTATTTTCTCTATAACAGCTTTATAAAATAATAAAACAATTGTCACAAATCAAGCTTAAGAGAAAAAAAAAGATTGGGATGACTGAGCTGCTAAAAGATCTAACTCCTTCCTTTAATTAACCTAAGGTTATGATCATTAGTATTATTTTAAATAGTTTATTTATTTTTTAAATGTTGCCTACTATTTAGTTCGACAAATTCTTGGAGTCAACCATTTGAATGTAGCGTTGTATACGTTTCAATCGTTGTTTGGCTATGTGGTTTCCAACTGGAAATTTCGCCTGATAATTATTATCTTGATTGACAAGTTCTACGAGCCAACCAATGCGATGCTAACGTTGGCTAATGTTTTAATTAGTGCTTAGACTATTAGGCTTCGGAGTGCAACAATTAAGTAAATTGGTTAATGTACATGTGTTGTGCTTAAATTTGTTCCCAAGTTATTGTTCTTACTTCTTAGTGAATGTAGGATAGAAAGGTTACAAAAGGCCGTGGTCGAGCGGCAAAGGCCTAATGATGATAATCAGTAGGTGGCTTGATAAGAATGTTTAGGAGATGAAGCTCCTGTGACCACGATCTGATGGTGATTCGATGATGATAGTCGGGTAGTAAATGTCTGACTGTTGCTTAGATGGTAGTCTAATAATGATGATTAGGTGTTAATCCAACAACAGCAATCTCCCACAGCTCAAATGTCGTCGTCGGACTGTCAGTGGCCGACCACATCACAATTGTTGGACCAATGCCATCAACGGACCACTAATGTCGAATCACGATCACCTGATCCCCATTATCAAACGATCGCCAACAAACTATTGTTGTCAATTTGCCATCACCTGACTAGACCCATTAGATCATTGTCATCGCCAAATCACTATTATTTATCAGCTGCTACCTGGGCATTACTATGAGATCACCACGTCATAGTGTCGCCACAATTAAACTATTGCCATCCAATAGGTATTATTGGGTCACCGCTGCCTGACCAACACTGCCACGTTCTTGTCTCTTGATCACAATTATATGAATGTATTTCTCTCATTCTGTCTCCGTGATATTTTTTGCCTTACCAACTCTTCAACTTATCATACAATTACAAATTTGTTAGCCTACAATAAATATTGATCGTATCGAGAACGGAGTTCATTATAATGATTGGAATTGATGTACCTCAAATTGAGTGAGGTTAAGGACTGAGTTTATTGGTGTTATTTTTTTTTAGTTATAAAATTAAATAATCATCCTCTTTCATAACATAATGATTTTGTCTAATAAATTAATTCATATTTTCATTTATAAAAGAAAATGTTGTGCAAAAAATAAAAATGTTTTTTGTGCAAAATTAAAAAAAAAAATTATGCATATTACTATATTAGGGAATTCAAGCGCGGTTAATATTGGAAGAAAATTTTCTTCGATCGACCTGCAAGGCTGCAACCCATCTCTTTAAAATTATTTTAAAAAAAAATTACTCAGGATAAGACGATAAGTAGTAAAAAACAAAGCCCAAGTCTTCATTGGTCCTCCACCATTAAAAAATGGTAAAAGCATATAGTGACAAAAAAAATTGTTCAGAGCGAATTTCAAAGCCTTTTAATTTATTTAAAAATTAGTTTTATTAATAATTTATATATTATATTTATTTAAAAATAACTATAAAAATATTTATATTCATTCATTCTGACGAAGTAGAGGCTTATGACACATAAAAATAAGAAAAAAAAATTGAAATATATACATATTAATGAAATTATAAAATATTTTTTGATGCGTCACCAAAAATCATCTCGAGGCATGTTCAAGTTGGAAACTTTCAAAATTAAACTCGGAATCATCTGAATTAGTGAATTACAATTTCAGCAAACTCGTACTCAAACTGAACATCTCAAAGAGACGAACATAACAAGAACAAAATCAGTCCAATCCGAGCCCAAATGGGTACAAATCGGTGGCCCAAATAACATTTGGAAGATTCAAAGCAGTATTTGGACGATAAAATGATACTTAAATATGGCATGCTTATAGTCAAATTGAGTGGCTCAAAGAGACGAATCCAGCGTACCCAAGATTACAGAATTATGACATTGTTAAGGCACATAAAAAGTTGATAAACTCTCTATGGTCGGGGGAATCAATCTGAGCCGCGCCATCTGATAAAGCACTCTAAATATGCCATGGATCTTCTCTAAACTTACGAGGTATGCTACTCATGAAAATCTATAAATAAACCCAACTCTCTACATGAAAGGGGACATTTCGCTAGAGATTACGGAGAGCTCTAAGGCTTCAAGAGCTCCAGCACCACCACCGCCGAAACCCCATCAACTGCCGTCGGACTGCCAGAGGACCACCGCTCAGCCATCGATCACCGTCGAACTTCAGGCCGGCCACCACTAGACTTCAGCCCAACCGTCGTCGGACTACCGCCTGGCCGCTGACCGCCGCCAGACTTTAACTCGGCCGCCAATCGTCGTTGAACATCAACATGACCATCGTCGAACCACCGTCTGGCCGTCAACAGCTGCTAAACTTCCACTTGGCCATCGACTGCCACCGGAATTTCACCTAACCGCTGACCAGCACCGAACTTTAGCCCGACCATCGTCGAACCACCGCTCAGCTGCCAATCATCGCCAGACTTTAGCTGAACTTTCGTCGGAGCATCGCCCGGCCACCGACCACCGTCGAACTTCCACTCGGCCAACGATTGGTGCAGGATTTCAACCCGACCTTAGTTGGTCACCGTCCGGCCACCGACCACCGACCGTCGCCAGATCATTCCATATCAACTGAACTTTTACTTGGATGCATGTCGTCGGACATCTGCCCGACAGTCGTCATACATTGTCCTAACTCTCCAAACTACTGTAATTTGACCGTGACTAAGTTAAGGGATGAGTCAACCTTTATAATTCTCTCAAATTTAATAGAGTCTTTTCACCTGGGCGTGACCCCGTATTTTTGTCCTCTTCGGACTTTCCACGTAAAAAAGATCGGGTGTTTTACTTCTCTCTCTTTCTGTTTGTGAGTTGGATATTCGTGCATTACTAAGACCAAAAGTTTAAATGTGCATGACTAATGTACCTTAGGTCAATTTGGAAGGACTTGAAAGTTCTCTTTAAGGAAACGAGTTGTAAATGTGCTAAATAGTGGAAAATGATAGTGAACAATTAGCTTAGTAATTAAACTAAAGATTTGGACTAGATGGTAAGGTTTGATGGAATTTTTATAGGTATCCGGGGGTAGGGAACAAGAATAGGTCCTAATCATGTTCAATTGGAGACGAGTAGATAAGATTTTAGAGCATTAGTGTGGCTTCGGTTGTGTTGTGGTTGATCTTGTAGGATAATTAGGGGAGGTGTAACGAAGATTGAGATCGGATGGTTACAGAAGATAAGTAAAAACTTAAGATACAGAATGATAATCACTTAATCTCTTCAAGAAAATGCCAACTTTAAAAGCTACAAAGAAACAAGCAAATGAAGATTAATTCCCTGACAAAATATATCATTCAATTATAAAAATTGTATTACATATCAGTTACTATTATTAGAAAAAATAAACCTTAAACTTCCTCATCTTGGAGAAAAAAATTGGGTTGAGTGTAGGGCGGGGAGAGGGATTGGCCATTTAATGAATTAGGAGATTTCCAATTGGAGTGTAAGTGAATCAATCCAACTCATGAGCAGATTTGGGCTTGCCTCAATAGATGGCTTATATGCAGAGCTCAGTGAGCTAACAAGTCAAGCTTTCTAAATGGTCGCCTCTTGTGGATGTCGGAGTCGAGTCGCCGATTGTCCCTATTTGGGTTTCTTTCCCTCAACTGCGCCCCCACCTCTTCTCCCCTTGCATCCTTCATGGCTTGGGTTTGATCTTTGGCAAACCTCTTAAAATTGATATGGCTACCTCTATCTGTTTCCCCTGTTACGCCTATTGACCACGTTACTGGTCGGTTTGTTGAGGTTCCGGTTAACCTTTTATCTCCTAAGGCTTTGGTTGATCATGTGGGTGACAATTCGGGGGAGGCGGTTAGGTTGCAAATAGATTGGCTCCAAGTTTCGTCTGATTCCTCTTCGGAGGCTAGTGGGGAGGATGAACCTGCTGTTAAGTGTGATTTTCTCAAGGACAGTCCCGTTGTATTTGTTTCCTATTGTGGGAGGGGTACATGAGGTCGAAAATAATTGAGTGCGGTGGATGCTACGTTGCCCCCCTTTTTTGCGGATTCTTGTTGCCTTTTTTGGTTATGTTTTATGTTGGTCTTACGAATTTTGCGAGCGGTCTCTGGGCAATGATGTGGCTCGAGCTCACCGTTCCAATCCGTGGCTAGTTGGCAACCTTAGGTGGTGTTTCTTCTTAGCGGTGATGGTGGTTGCCTGGCTTTTGGTGGGCTCTTTCTCCCCTCTGGATGGTCCGTGCCCGAATTTGGAGCGGTTCGTAGTGTGAGCTTTTGCTGAGCCTGATGGCCATTGTGCCTTCTTCTCCCTCTTTCAATGTTCTCTTTGTATTTGTTTTTGGTTTTGGCTGCCTCGGGTGTGTGGCTTGACTGTTTTTGCCTAAGCTATAACCTTTTTGTCCTTTTTGAAAAAAAAAATTCCTTAAAAAAAAAAAGCCAAGCTTGAACCCATCTTGACTCAGCTTGTTAACACAAGAGCGAGCTGCCTTTTAAAAATAATAATATAAAATATATTAGCCTCCCTAAATTCAAGTTCAAAATTATTAAACTTAGTTAAATTTTTATTAGCTTTCTTATATAAAGTGATTCTTTATTATTTTAATCTCGGCGTTGACATGTAGGTTGAAATACAAGAGTGGGAGCGTTGTGGCACTCCAACTTGGTGCTGCAACGCTGTGAGCAGCACTGTGAGCAGCACTGTGAGACTGTCTGAGCAATTGTCTTTCTTTTTTTTTTTTATTAAGAGTTGCGTCTCTTAGTGAGTTTATTCCATCTCTTTGTATGTTCTAATATAAGAACTATACAAGAAAAAAAATAATATATATTATTTTCTCTCAATTTTCATAGTAATTTTTTGGCATGGTGTAGAGGGTCCAAGGGGGCAGCGCCCCCTGTCGGGGTTCGACCTGCTCGGTCAGGTCACGGGGTGAAGGGGCAACACCCCTACGGGGTTATCTGTGGGCAGCGCCCCCAGAACAAATTTTGATTTACTATTTCTCTTTGTATTTGGTTCATCATTCCTTAACAATGTATTCAATTATACTGGGGATAATTGTTTAAAGACCATAGTATTTTAAAACTTATAGGGGGGTCAATTGCCTAAAAACCCTTATAATAAAGATTAAAAAATAGTTTGAGGGAGACAAATTACCTAAATAAACGTATGATGAAAAAAAAAAAAACCAAGGCTCTAAGGGTTTCTGCCTCCAACACCCCCCCCCGCACACACACACACACCATCATCATCTCCATCAAAGCTAGAGCTAATCATTGTTGAATAAGAGATATATATATATATATATATATGTGTGTGAGAGCAGGATTTTGTCCAATGCCAAGGTCATAAATTTTCTTTTTGCTGCAGTGAATATTTCAGTACTCGATAATCTTAGATGGGAAGAAAGTAGAAATCCTTATTATAGCCTCAAAAAGGAAGAATTATTTTATGCGGAGTGCGAAGGGCATCTGGAGATCAATAAAAATGCGCCACGTCACCTCATTGGTGGGTACTGAGTACCCAGCTCGCTACCCGCACTCGGTATCGCTGGGTACCGTATAGAATAAAAGCTCCTAAAAAAGACATTAATGCCAAGTCCCCAAACACAGTTGTAGCTGGGCATTTACTCTGCTATTCTATGATGCATAAATTCTACTAGAAACATATAAAAATTGATGACAACCCTGAATATAACCTTTAAAAAAAAAGTTCACGAGAATATCCTACGCATATTTCGCAAGCAAACACATGGTTCTGAAGGATTAGCCATTTGTAGTGCTTTCTATTTCTTATGCAATGCAAATTTCTTTATCAAAAAAAGAGGTAGCCACCTGGCATCGTCTGCTTTAATTTTTAATAGTTTGTCTGCGCATTCATTGCATTCAATTTGCAACTATGATGGCATTTTATATTGATTAGAAGATGGAGGAGTTTAGATTCTAGTGTATTGGGTAAGTAAGTAAGTTTATAATAATATGATGATGTACTCTTCTTTTGTCCTATGCTGCTCTTTCTCAATTCTTTTTTTAAAATATTTTTTAACTATAAAACTACTTTGAGAAGCAGTAAGAAGCCATCCCAAAGAAAATCATAGTTAACTTTCTACTCTCCACCCTACAGTTTATCTACAATGCTAACAGATAAAAGAAAAACCCGAAGTTATGCTATAGAACCAAGTTTATTTGATTCATTTTAATAGATTTTTTTGTAATCCAAATGGCCATAAGTTTGAATGGATGAGAGGATAGAAAATGTGCAAGGAAATTGGGGATTGACGGATTTCTTAATTTCTACCTATAGAGGCAATTTCTGTGGCCTAGTTTAATCCTCTTTTTGATGAGTTGAGAGAAAGTCAAACAAATTATCAGACTCTTTGGAATCAAGCCTCGCAAAAAATTTCAACAAACAATGACTAATAAGGGGAAAATTATTACGTACAGCGTTCAGATTCATCCGGAGGCGAATCCGGATGCACCACGTCACCCGGGGCCCAGTACATCCGGGTGACGTGGCTTGTCCGGATTCGCCTCCAGACGGTCCGAACACCGCACGTAATAATCTCTCCTAATAAGGGGAGTAGTTAGACTATTTATTTCTCAATTGAGTCAGAAAAGGAATTTACCACAACTGACCTCTTACACAAAGTGTTTTCTTTTCTCTCTATTGCAAATGTTTTAACTTTTATTTTTCTGCCAAAGAAAGCTCCAATTACAACAACAAATCCAGGACAAAGTACGCAGCTCAGGTAGGTGGAGAACTTCAAGAAATGTCAAGGATATTTTCATCCATGGAAGAATTTATCAGCCAAGTAAGATGATTTTTCAGCCAAGCGCTTGTTTTTTGACAACTCGCCTGAATACATCTAAAATCCATTCTTTGTCAATGGCAGTGATGGATTGTAGCATTAAAAGAGAGTGAATTAGCCTCATTCCAATCAAAGTGTCAAGAAAATACCCAAAGTCATGGTTCATAATGACTGTGCAATAGTTTTCTATATACAATAGGCAGGTAAGCACACTTCACAAGAATAATTCTCCTTATGATCGACTTTTCTGGTTGAGAGCCTTCTTGATCATTCGGCCAGGACCTTTCTTAAGCTTCGTTTGGGACGGCTTTCTTACTGCTTCTTAAATCAGCTTTCTAATACAAATTTTTGTACTAAAAAACTGCTTTAAGAAACCGTAAGAAAGCCGTCCCAAACAAACCTTAGTCGATCAGATACTTTTTCTTGATTGATCATAATATATTTTAGTCGACCAAAATGATTGATTTGGCAGCACTGGCGACTAGGCGAATATCCTAGGCCTGCAAATCATTGCTCAGCTCACAATTTTTTTGATCTGGAATCTTTATTTTAGTCTATAATTTTTTTATAATCTGCATAGGAATAGAAAGACACAAAGCATATGCGTAAACAGTAAAACAGACTCAAAATATAGAGCAGCCTGCAACAGATATGTGAGCCAGCCCACCTAATAATGTCTTAAGGATGGCTATCAGTCTGTTGCTTGAAGGGGGAAAAAACCTGTAAAAACCATCATTTATACTAAAACAGTTAAGGACTTTTCTACGAGAGAAAGAGGACAAAAAGACGAACACAAAAAGGAACTGGATATGAACTGAATCCTTATATTACTTGTGTGAGTTGCTAAATATCATGGCATCAGAACAATCTTTACAGGGTCTGTATTCCTAAATACAAGCTATAAACTTTTTACAGGCAATTGTATGACTATTCCTACAGGCACCTTCTTTCTTCTCTATCATTAAAAAAATAAAAATATTTTACTTACAGTATCCATTTCAAATGATTTTACTAATGAACAATGATAGAACCCATTGTATATGCTACTACTACAAGAAATAAGAGCCCAAACTCCATCATTCTCACAAATGAACCCTTCTCTACATTAGCCATTCCATCTTCTACCTTCACCAATGGCAGAACTGGCTCATCTACTTCATCCATAACAACCAATGATGTGCAGTCCTCCTGGCCTTCACCTTCCCCCTTCATCAATGGCTGAACCGGCGGAGCCATCATATCATCAATACCAACAACCAAACTCTGCTCTTCATTCAATTCTTCAACCTGGCCCAAAGAACAAATTGTTTCATTTGTTGCATCAGGAACTACCAAGGTTGTGCTAATCTCTTCCACATTTACTGCATTTGGATTCTCCAAATTAGTTTCAAGAGAGACAGAAACCGCTGAACTCGATCCACTTTCACTAATAAAACTACTCAACAATGATTGCCTCTCGTCCTCCCCACTTGGCCTTCTGAAAAGGCTATCATCTTCAACATCGTAGAAGTTCCCTGTGCGCACTTCCTGAGCCAAAGCACAGCTCCAGCAGAACATCCACTTGAAGTAATCGGTTAAAGAAGCAGATCCACAGCAGAATCTATCTTCTGGTAGCTTAAATCTCTTCCTCATCTGAATTCTCCAAAAACCCCCATAAATCAATCCAAACACACACAACACTATCCCTGAAATCCCCAACACATCCCCAATAACATAATCATGAACCTTCAGAGCTGAAATATTGAATATCCAGAAGGGAGCTAAGCATAGCAGAAGGAAAGTGACAATGTGGACATACATGTTTCCAAATCCAAGCCTCTCCATATTCCATCCAAAAACACAGCAAGTGCAACAACATGAGAGATACGCCACTGGCACGTCATCGAAGCAATCAAATAGCCCGCCGATCCATTCTGGCTCGCTCACGAGGACTCGTTGGCCATTAAGCTTCAGCCCGGCCTTACCATTCATCGAACCCTGCAATTCTCCGTTAAATTCGGATTCAAACTCCCTTCCGAGAGGGCTGTAAATAGCGTAAGCGCCAGCGCAAACCGGCGAAGCAACACCCAAAGCAATGAATGAGTATTCAAGGATCTCAGGCCTGTCAAAGTTAGTGAAACCCCAATAGACAGCACAAAGAGCATACTGAGCTATGCAAGTGATGTGGAGGAGGATGATAACGACCATCATGTGAGCCCATTCATTCGGACGGTGAGCTCCATTTTTGCAGTACATCTTTCTGAGATCAATGATGTCTTCGGATCTCCATCGACATAGCATGAACAAGTGATGGAAGATGACAGGGTGCTGGTATATGCTCATGAGAGTGAAGAGAGCGTTGAGTATTTGGTTGTTGATTTCAATCCACCGATTTCGCAGAGCTTTCGTTGGAAAGGCTTCATTGAGCAGACCAAGCATGAGCAAACCAAGCATGACGCCGGAGACCGCGACGCAGATCAACCAGAATAGGAGAGCAATGTTCATAGGATGAGAGAGCCATTCCTTGCAGATGGTTAGTAGGGATAAAAAGTTGATTTTTCTGATAAAGTGAATATGAAAACGGCGGCGGACTCCGGCAGGAGAAGGGACTCCAAGGGAGATTTCTTCTCTGCGGTGAACAGTTCGACGAAAGAATGCGAGGGGCGATGAGAATCGAATGTTCTTAATCCAATCTAAAGATGGCCGAGCTCTCAGAAAATCAAAAAACCTTCTTTTCCTTTGGCTTCTCTGATGCTCTAATAATCTTTCATGAAGAGATGGGATTTCAATCCGACACTCCTTAAGTCTCGGGATTATGGGCGCCGAGTTTGATTCAATTTTCTGGTTGATTTCTTCAGTAATTTGTTCTTGCCTATTTGAATCCATTCAACCAACTCAGTGGATCTAACTGTTCATCATCAAGAAAAAAAACTATTTCAGATACAGAACAAAAGATGAACCAAGATCACACTTTTACACAAATCCTGAGAAAAGAGATAACAAAGCAGCACAATTTGATTACCTGCAGGATGGGAAGCAGCGAGGAGAGGAGAAGCTCAGGTTTGAAGAAACCAAAAAGAGCAAGCTTCAATTGAGCTTCTCCTGATTTCCTCCCAACCCAATGTTATCGTATAAGAAAAAAAAATGTCAAAAAGTCTGCTACTTCTTATACGAAGTCTCCTCTTCAGCAAATGGCGGATGGAATCGGTCCACTAACGATGCGTTCAAACAAGACGGTCAAAGAGGAAGAGATCGGCCACGCGCTCCAGCTGAGTAAATCGGAGCACGATAACTCGCACCCTGACCTTAGCCCGCACGGTACCTCTGAAGTCCCATCTTAACTAGTCAAACAAAGTAGTGGTAACAAATGCGTGGGTTTCAGACATGCTACTAATTTTTTTTATGTATTTTTATGTATAATATTTAAAATTTTATATTTATTTAAATAATATTTTAATCTTTAAATAATATCAAAGTTTATGCATAACAATATATATTTAATTTCTCATAAGTTTTCTTAATAGTATTTTTATATTGTTTTAAAATTAAAATATTATATAAATATGGGGCTTTATCCAATCATAAAATCTAGACTAAACAAATCTTGTATTTAGAGAGAGTTTTTTAACAAAATTAGAAAAAAAGCATATGTATAATATAAAACACAGATAAATAAAAAGTCTTTTTATTTATGATAAATAAAAAAATTCATGAATGTTGACATTAAAGAAACATGGTGTTATCATCTTCATGAAAAGATGATCAATTGAATGACTGAGCGACAATTGATGTCGATCAATGATGGTCATTTGACAGTGGTTGTAGTTAAATGACAGTAAGTGTCAAAGGACGGAAAACATAAGATGATGAGTCTTACACGAAGTTGGTTGCGAGCATTAAGTAGAGGTGATGGCTAATTTTAAGCATAGATTTATAGTGATACGGAGTGATAGACAACATTGGACATCATATATGATAGATCACTTAAAATGAAAGAATTTAAATGACAAATAGGGCACGGTTAATAGGAGTTGCTAAAGAGATGATGACTATCAGAATAATAAAGCGTTCATTTAAACTTCTAAAAGTAAATATAAATATAAAATTCTATGGCAATGATAATATTCAAAATTAAACATATATTTATAAAATTTAAAGGGTTATTGCAATCATTATAAATAATTATATCAAATAATTTATGATGCCCCTTACTAATAACAAAAAATGATTGAATGATCCTATCATTAGCCAATCCTAATCGAGCCACCCAAATGATGACCAAGCTAAGGGAATGATTGGTTATGGGTTGTGATAGTCTAGTAATGGTTTAATGAAGGCAATTAGTGCTGAAGCCTTCGATTGATGAATGTAATGTATATTGTTTAACCTTTGAATGCCAAGAGTGCAATGAAATTAATGGATAAAAAATCTAACTATTGAATCATAATGAATAATCCTTTGAAGCTCTAGGGATTAAAATCAAGAATGGTAGAGAACAAAATGATAAGGTTCATCTTCGTATTTAATAGACTCCTCTACTTGAGAGCAATATAATATTATTGAAGACATAAAATTTAGTGCCACCAAAAGTGGCAATATAATGCCATCTTTTTTAAACGTAGTAGTCATCTGCCTTAAAAGCAATCCAAGGCTACAAATGGCTCGCAAAGTGCTCTCCTATAGAGGTATTTTTTTTTTTTTGGAAAGTTTAGTTTTATACAACAACAACATAATAATAATAATAATGTCTAAATCATGATATGTTTTATGCGGTAGATTATCAGTGAAAACGTGTTGTTTTAGTTATGTTTGTGCAAGAAAAAATATAAGAAATGAGCAAAATTTTTAAGTATGGTACATCGCTTCGGTATCGAACACAATACTGTCGCGGTGCCATCTTTGACACTGCCGAAGCACCCAAATATGGACCTGGCGGTGCCCAGTCTCTGTTTGACAGAGTCGTAGCTTCGAAGAAGTTAGCGCCGCAAAGCTCAGTCGTTGTTTTATAGTGTTACAGTGTTAGAGGAATCATGGCCGCAAAGCTCAATCTTTGTCAACATAGCGCCGCACCACCAAATTCCAGTGTTGACAAGTTAAGGGGAGTGCCACGTGGATGCCGTAGTGCTCAACCGTCAGTAGCGTCACATCGCTACAGTTATAACTAGGGGTTTAACCGAGTCAAGCCAGATTGGACTCGACTCGTTAACATGATCGACGAGTTGAGTTCAAACATGATTTCTAGCTCGTCAGCTATCGAGCTCGAACAGACCTCCACTCGATACGTGAGCTCGTCGAGAAGCTCGCGGATGTAACCTTCTATTGCCTGTAGGAACACAAAATCTCAGGCTTGGGCAAGTAGGAAACAAAGTTTGGGCGGAGTGTGATGAACTCGGAACAGAGTGGACGTGACAACGAAGCTCTGGACAAAGCGGTGGTCTAAAACAGAGCTCGAGTCGGAGCTCTGAACGAACCTCGGGACAGAGCAGTCGTCTTAAACGGAGCTTTAGACGAAGCTCGATACGGAGCTCGACGTGAGATGAGCCGAGCTAGAGCTCGACTCGATGTTGAACTCGAGCTCGATATTTAATTTTTGAGCTTGACTCAAACACCCCCTAACTCGAGCTCGACTCGACTCGTTTGCACCTCTAGTATAATCGTTCAAGCCACAATACCAACGAAGCGAGGGTCGATTCATTAAATAGCGGGTACATTTTAGCAAGCACCAAAGTGAAGAAAACCATTCAGCGCTGCAACGTTAGTTCATTTTATAAGCACCGCGGCGCCAGAATCCATTTTTTATATTTTTCTATAAATAGTATGTTTGTAATGTTAGTCATAGAATGAACAATATTGAATTATGATGTTTTAAAAAATTTATATAAAATTAATTATTTATATATTACACTACTTTTAAAATATATATTTATAATTTTTGAATGACATCTAATTAAAACTATGATCAGAACATTCTCGTAAATTTTTTTTCTTCGCTCTGCAATCCTTGACGCATCTAATGTCTACCATGGTCGAAAATCTGTGGGACCCACAACTATTAAATGAGCCAACAAGGTAGGCCTACAATTGATTGTGCTGATGTAGTGAGGAAAGGGAAGGGCAACAGCTTAGAGGTGGAAATAGCTAGTAGCCATTTTTGACCTAGTAATCAAACTGCCTTTGCTTTCAGTTGAATTTGCAACTCGACTGAGACTGTTAGAAATTTAGCTATATATATTTTTATTTGGGACAGTTTTTTTTTTTACTTGGGACAGCACAAAAATTTCTATTACAATAAACTTTTTTTCTAAAAAATTACTTTAAAAAATAATTAAAAAATTTTCCAAATAAAACCTTAATTTCAACTTTAAATATATTTAAATAGTTTACATAGCTTACACGTTTAGTAGGGTTATGAATTATTTTAAGTATGAGTTATGAATTATTTTAAGTATGGATTGTCACCATTCTTCTTGAGACTTGAACCATATATATAATTAATTAAAAAAATAATTTTATTATGATGAATATATGATAGTGCGACGAATTTAAATATATAAAATGTGGAGGTTTATCTTCAAAGATTAGAGTTCAGACACATAATGATATAAAATAACATATTACAAAATTGACCCTCTAATATTTTTAAATTATCCTTTTGACTATCATCCCATATCGCCCGAAGAGCTCATGAAATTCGATGGACTCAAAGCACACTAATTGAAAATAAATTTGAAAATTCTAATAAGCTGAGCTCGAACCTCAAACACTCACCCTCTCGAGAATTTTTGTTTTTAATTTAAAGAAATTATAAAAGATTTGAAATAGAATACATATGCTTTGCGAAAATATATGAAGCATTACACATTATATCATGTAAGATGAACATATTGTTGCAAAGATACTGATTTACAAACTTACCACAAAATTTTCTGAAATTATATCCACTTATAATGGAACAATTATTAGGTCAGGTGACCCGACGTAACTCTACGTTCATACGCCAATAATATTTCGCCACGTCTTCTTACTTTTTACCACGCAGCCCGACGACCCGACCCGAACCTGAACCCGAAATTGCTATGTTCGTGTATTGCTCGATATTGTTTGGCAAAAACGAGAAATACCGCTCTGTGAAGATCAATACCGAGAAAAACTCGGTATTGCTCGGTATTGGTATTGGTATTCACAGAATGATATTTCTCATTATTGCAGAGCAAAATTGAGCAATACCGAGCAATACGCGAACATAACAATCCCGGGTCCGTTCCGGGTTGGGTTGTCGGGCCGCGCGGTAAAGAGTAAGAACACGTGGCACTATTTTACTGGCGTCCGAACGTAGATATACGCTAGGTGACCGGACTAAATAAAAGTTTCTTGTAATGTGAATGTTGATGCACAGCTTTGACGCTTTTTTCAGCACCGCAAAAAATTATGATGTTTTCATGTAATGTAAGGAAATATTATTGTAACACTAGCAGAATCATTTTAAGGCTCGAAAACATAAGAATTGAACTAGTCTGTCTAAAACATACTTACAGGATTGCTCTTAAAATCCATACAGATTATGGCATTGGACCAGCTTCTCTCTGTATCTGAGGAGAAACTGGCGGTTTCATAGGATCAATAGAGCCGTTGAAGGATTCATCTTCTTCTACCACTGGCAAAGGACTTCCGGGAGCAAACCTAGCTGGAGATCTCGTCGGAGTTGATGATTCTCTCAACATCTCTAATGGAATGGAGTTTCCTCTGTGGGAAGAACTGGGACTCCCTGGAGCAAACCTGCTTGGAGACCTTGCCTGAGTTGATAACTCTGTCATCTTCTGTGAACTCCCGTTTCCACGATAAGGTGAGCTAGGGTTTGAAATATATAGAGGCAAAGCATCCTCACGACGCAAAGGGGAAACTGGAAAGCCATTGTCATCGCTCGTTTGCTTTAAGAAAAACTTGTCCTCTACAATATCATAGTAATCTGCTGTCCTCACTTCCTGAGCAAGAGCGCATGAGCAGCAACAAAGCCACAGAAAGCAATCAGTAACTGAAGGTTTGTCACAACAGAATGTATATCCTGGAAGCTTAAACCTCTTCCTCATCTGAATTCTCCAAAAGCCGCCATAAAGCAAACCAAATATACAAAGCAAAATTCCAGCTATTCCCAGCGCCTCTCGGACAGCCTCATTATCGATATTAACGGCAGCAAGGTTGAAGATAAAGAAGGGAGCAATGCAGAAGAGAAAGAAAGTCATGATGTGCACGTACATGTTACCAAACCCAAGCTTCTCCATGTTCCATCCAAAAACACAGCAACTGCAGAAGACTGACAGATATGCAAGTGAAATATCATCCCACAAATCATAAATTCCTCCAATCCATTGTGGATTGCTCTCTGGAACCCTTTGGTTTCCTTGCAGTGCAAATGAATATTTCCTTTCAAATGACTTAAGGCGGAGTTGAGCAGGCTTGCTAACTTCACTTGAAATGCTCTCCAGGGTATGTGCTTCTTGATCAACGTTAGTCTCATAGTCTTTACCAAGAGGACTCAGCATACTATAGACGGCAGAAAAAGCAGGTGCTCCAATTGAAACAGATAAGCAGACAGCTACTCCAATGGCAGGTCTCTTTGATCGAGGGTATCCCAAGTTTAGACCACACAGAGCATACTGAGCAAAGCAATTCAAATTAAGAAGAAATATTACTACCATCATATGCACCCACTCATTTGGTTTATATACTCCATTCTTGCAATACACTTTTCTAAGTTTCAGAACATCATCTGGCCTCCACCTGATCAGAAGTACAAGATGATATAATCTCTTTGGGTGTTGATAGAGGCACATAAGTGTAAATAGAGCATTTAGGATTTGGTTATTGACTTCAAACCAACCATTCCGCTGGGATTTCCGTGGTAATACACCATTTAACATTCCAGTCATCACCATGAACAAAATAGCACCAGAGATGGCAACACAAAGTATCCAAACGAAGAGAGCCATATTCATTGGATCTCTAATCCATTCTTTTGAGAGTTGCCACAAAAATGCCCAATCAATTTTCCTAACAAATGATATGCTGAACCTTGAAGAGTGGATTTGATCAGCAGAAGGAACTGCACGAGAAATCTCATCCTTTTCTTCAGCAAACTGCCAGAACTTGGCTGATGGCGACGGCCCGAGTTTTAAATACTTGGCTTTTTTAGGAAAGGCTCTGAGAAAATCTACAACCGTACTCCTTTGCTCTTTTTCATCTAATAAACCTCTACGAGATGTACTCATGTTGGGAGGGATCTGACTTTTTGTCCAATTCTGAGCTGTAGCTTGTCCTAATTCTTCCTGAATTTCATTGGCACATTTTCCATTAGGACTAGAAGTGGAAACCATTTTCCTTGGAAGCTGATTAAAGCCAATTTATCTTCTGATTATGTCAGGGTCTCTTGAACTTTACAAGGCTGGAGGACAGCAAATGTTAACCTGTTGGATAGTCAGCAAATTTAGCTCATCTAGCATCAGTACAGAAGAATTTTTTTTAGTAGATTTAAACTCTTAACAAGACATAATGGAGAAAAAATATTCACATTGCCAACTCTATGTAATGAGATAAAAGCTTGATGTTGTCTTTGTTGTTGTTGGTACCAGTAGGGAAGATCAACAAAAACTTAAAATAATTGAAGCAATTACAGCGGTCATTTTTTATGGAGGTCAAACAAGCCCCGAAATAGAGTTAAAGTAGCCCAGTTCAAGCTTGGCTAAATTCATTTTACTAAGCTTAAACCAAATCGCACATTACAACAAGTTTTGTTGTGGAGTTCTGGTGATGATTTGAAATTAAGCACCACAAAGAGATTTCGCCCTTATTTTGCAAGGACTTTATGATCTAAGTTTAGATTTCTTATAGGCGTAAGCACCTATAGTTAATTACCCTCCTAATAACAAGAGAGAACTTTCAACTAAGGCTAGTCGTCAAACAGATACATGGTGCCTGATGTATAATAGCCGCATGTGTTTAGTTTTTAAAACTTAATATTTAAAATTGAAAATTCCACTATTTTGCACTTAAAGCAGATTGGGGGGGGGGGGGATGATGAACCCAATCAAGATCCCATTGTTTTGTCATCCCGGGTCCCTGGTCTACTTAGTTAAAGGAGGTAGTCGACCCAACCTGACAGAAGAATCTTTGTTGGCATCCATGGTTGCATCATCCAAGGGAACCTTGTAGACCTGGGGTAAATATTTGCCTAAGGAAACAAATTTGAATCCACGTTAGCTAACAGACGGCTTTGTGCCATGTCGATTATATCTTATTGATTCATATCTTAAAAATTTGAATCCATTAGGGAACATAAGGGATATGATCGTAACCGTGATAAAGTGGTGTACTTAGACCAAGCCACTAGGTCAGAGGGTCGTGGTCATAATCGTTAACCACGCAGAGCCATCTAGCCAAACCATGAGTTATTTGTGGAGCAATTTGGCCAAACCAAAAATTAAAAGACCAATGTGATGTCCTTACTGGCAAGAAATTGATTGAAAATGAATTCTAGTGATATTTTCGACCAATATTTGCTCTTTGTGAGCTCAAGTGATTTTCATATTTATCCACCTCGGCAAATTATTATGTAGGGTGGATAGATTTTACTTTGAGCATTTTATGGCTTATTTAAATATTTTAGGTTCGAATATATTTTTTTGGTATCTTTAGAATTTTGAATTTTATGTGCATTTTGGAGGTATTTTTAAATATTTGAGGTCCCCTCCGGTTGAGATTTTCTGTCAACACGGCCATCATCGGGGTTATGTTAAAGTCACTTGGGAATGTTTGTATTTTATGAGAATTTGAGGCATTTGAAAATTTAGGGTCCCCTCCAGTTGAGATAAACTTTCAACACGATCATCATTGAGGTTTATGGGTGATTTCAATTTGTTGGTTGAGCCTTATTAACTCTGCCAACTTGACGATAGAGGATCGGGTTTGTCATCAGCTTTATGTCTTTGTTAAAGAATGTATAAAACAAATATCTTGATCGACACCAAGATCATATATTTGTTTAACAATTCGAGCTATGTCAACTCTTATTTATCCACATAGAAAAATCAGGCTCGAACTTAGGTTCGTGTTTGACACACGCAGTATCCTTAGACGCCACGTATATACACGCAACACGCTCGTCGGGACCCATGCGAGTATATGCTTGCACATGCATTTTGTCTGATACATTTGCATGATGTTTACTTGCATGCAGCACAAAGGGTATGTATGATATGTCTGCATATTCATATATGCATTCATATGACAATGCGCATGCTAATTCATTCGCATATTCATTTGCATACATATTTGCACATTTGCTTATATGCACGTATGTTGTATGTGCATTTGCATTTTGCATGATACGCTCGGCGTGTAATGTAACATTCTACGACACTAACATAGTAAGTAGCGTATATGCATAACATGTATGAGTAATGCACACATATGTTGCATGTCTGTCTACACAACACATTTGTATAATGATGCAATGATCGCAGAAGGCGCATGATGTATTTGTATGCCAACGATGTATAATATATATGTATAATACATTTTCATGTCAGTTTAGTGCCCTTTGTGTATTACATGGTGTGTATGCACATTACTATAGCATGCTGCTGTGATACAGTGTGTTATGTATTTTAAATGATATGCCTGCATAATGCATTCTATGCATTATAACGCAAGTATGCAAATGAATCTACATGTCGCTACAACACGTTGTTATAGCATAATGCATATCGCAATATTGAATGACATGTTTGAAGGGATTATTACGCATGTAGAATGAGGTATTTGAAAAGACTATTATGTATGTTGCAATGCATATACGAGGGCATTTTAGAATATTTAGCGCTAATCAACCGCGCGAGCAGCTATCATTTGAGTATGCATAGTAAATGCCTTTTGTCTGGTAGTACGAGTGTTGTAGAAATGATGACGCGACGTCACACTAAGGTTATTTGCCCTTTAGTTTATGCAGGTAGACTGACATGCACTAACGAGTTTCTTGTTGTTTGACTGATGTTCAATTGATTGATCAATATTTGCATTTTAAAATTTAAAATTTGGTTCCTTGCTTTTCAAGTTCTGTTTCATGTGATTTTGTTCAGTTTAAGTCCCTCTATTTTTGTTCAAGTTTAGTTCGTTGTCATTTGGTTCAAGTTCAGATCCTCTGTCAATTGAAAATTTTGGCAACCTCTCGACGTCTCCCTTGTAAGAAAAATTTAGGAAACTGGGACATCCCACAATGCTACAAGAGCATGCATAGTAAGTGTCGGACGACACTGCGGCCGTGGTTTATAATCCCACTACGCTATAAGAGTGTGTATGAGTCTTTGAGGTACCTATTTAGATATACATAATTGCTTTTCCGGCAGGCATTGAAGCACCTACGGGTACTTAGAAGTGTCTCCACCACACTACGAGAGTGTGTACGGGGTTTACCTGCCTCACCTTAACCGACGCACTAGGCTCCCTCCTACCGTGCTACGAGAGTGCGTATAGGGGGTCCTCCAGCTCGCCACAAACACCGAGAGAGAAGCGATGATGATGTCAATTTGCAAATACATGAAAACATATATTTTTTCTCTTTTTATAATTCCACTTTTCTTTTATTTGCTTGCTTTGTTATTCTTCTTCTTCTTTTTATTCTCTGTGTGTGTGTGCGTCTTTGTGTGTGTGTGTTATGGAAGGCTGGTAGAACCAATCAGGCTAGGTGGAGAGTTGCAGCAAAAGGATTGAAGGAGTAGAGATGTGGGCTCGGTTCCTTTTGGAGTTGGAATGGAGGGGTGTGGGCGGCTAGCTCAAGATTGAGCTCAGCTAGGGTCCGATCGCAGGGGGGCTTGGATCTGTCGGTTGGAGGAGGAAGGCATGACTCGCAGAGGAAGCTGACAGCACAGTGAGAAGCTTCAGCAAGTGTTTATGGAAGGAGGATTTGGTCTGAAGGTTTTCTGTCGTACATCTTCGAGGGCCGGTCGGGTGCATAGATCGGTTTAGGAGATGTGGAGTCAGGATTTGGCCGGAGAAGGTCACGAAGGTAGGGCGTGGGCTTGGTTAAGTGGGAAACACGATAGAGGGGCTCGACTCCTTCTCACAGACGAACATAGGAGTTAGATTGCCGTAAGAAGAGGGCGCTCGGGATATTGAAGGGGTAAGGAATGGAAGCTGAAGAAACTCTCGTGTGGGTGAACGCCGTGAAAAAAACCAACATAATCTCATTTTGTTTCTTATTTCAACGACGAGCCAAAGAATTCAACCGAGGAAAGCTGCTATCTGTGGGATTTACGAGATTTAGAAGGGATTTGAGCTCGACATGATACGAGGTATCATTAATTTGATTAATTTTTTGTTTGACATTACTAATTGATTTGATAATAATAATAATAATAATAATATTAATATTTTATGATTATTATTAATGAATCCAGAGATGACAGAAATTGTTATATACTCAATATTGCCTCAATTATATGTGTTGAATGATGGTCTATTTATATTTTTCTTGAATGACATTTCAATAATTTTAGCCAAAATCATCAAAGCATTTATCAAAAGGCACGTATTGATTCACTAGGTCGAAGAATTTTTGTTTAGCATTTAATAATTTTAATGACCTAAAAATTGAATGCATTAGACTTGTTGAATTCCTCTCATCGATACGCTCGACTTTACTTATCATTTAATTTTTCAATTATTATAATGATTTTTTCAATAATATTTCATGTGCTTGTTTTGAGCATTAAAGTTATATTAGCTCAATTCTAGTGTTATTGAACTCTTCTTATCAAAATGCTCAATTTAATAATAAATTTTTTGAAATCATATTTCAAATTATCCCCAATATAATTCTGAAAATTTTAAATTCAGAAATTACATTGAGAATTCTGCTTCTCGAAGGATTTTTTTTGTCAACTCATATCGGGTCAAATTTAATCCCGATTTCATCATTATCAAAATTCAAGAACGACATACATTATTCGTTTCAATCAAACTTTATTTATAAAAACAAAGGACTTGGTCAAGATTAATTTTAATAATCCTAACGAGGAAATTTAAATAAAAATTTATAAAATAAATTTTAATAATTATTTTAAATACTCATATTTACCATCTTTCATTCCACCTTAGGCACGCAAGCATAGCGCTCTTCTCCCTCGCTTCTTGGCTACAATCCCTCGACCACCTCCATCTTCTCCTTCGGCTTGTTCGAATCTCCCTCTTATTCCCTCTTTCTTTCTCTCTGTCAGTCTCCTCTCAGTCAGAGCTTCTCACACCCGTTTTACTTCCACTAGAGTGAGCGGAACGAAGATATCTCTCACGAGGAATTGCTTCCTTTCACTCCCGCACGCAATTCCTCGCTCGAAAACATGATCTGAACCCGCCAGCCTATCCGTGCCTGTGTTCGGTCCGTCTGCTTCACGAGCCTGCTTGACTATGTGAATCCTTTTTCTCCATTGTTTCTAGTTAATAGTTAAATTCTCATTAAATCTAACAAAAAAAGATCATTTCTAATACTTTCTAACCAAGTCTTTTAGGTCTACCTCTATCTTTCATAACATAAGTCAAATCTAATGCATATACTTTTCAAACCGGGTCATCGAAAGACCGTCATTTTATGTGGCTCATATTTTGATACTGCAATATTATTATTTTCAGTGGCTCGATATGTAGCTTATAGTGTTCCATCAATACTATGCGTTTTTTATACAACCTATACTAGTCACAATTCAAGCCGTTTAGGTCTAGAAAACTTGATCTGCCTCCTCTACAGGCTTGGTCTACCATTTGGATTTGCTAAATCAATATTGGATTAGGTTAACATGTTCTTTGTGATACCTTCTTAGTCCAACCATGGGCATTGACTAACTGATTAACTAATTCCAATGTTGGAAGAACCTCAGAAGACCCCCTTGCTCTCATTTGCTCCTACGAATCGATATTGATGATAAGGTGGACCTCTCTCTTAAACTTGATCCTTGAATTAGATTTTGTCAATATTATTTAGCTTTCGTACTTTTGAACCTACCTGAAATATTTAGTATTAAACAATTAACAATACTTATTGTTTTTCTTAAGGGTCTCCCATCTTTTGTTGTGGACTGCATCAACTTCGTCTAAGAGTGTCACCAATATAAAAAGAGCTGGCTTGGCTTGCTTAGCACGGCAATGCTACTTCTTTTAAACTTTCCTTCGCTGATTAAGTGATTGCCCATTCTTGACTTGCCTAGGTTATCAAGATGTATACCTTGCACCCTTTTTTCTTCTCCTTGGAAGATGTGAGAGTATCATTTATGATAATCTCTAGTTCAAAAAGGTAACTACAATTGAGGCAATTTGTAACTATTATTATGGCTTGACTGAAAATTCTAATTCCTTCAAGGGTAGAGTAAACATGCAAACTACATAATTTTTTCCTGTTTCTTCATGAATAGACATGTCTACACTTTCAAATATTACACGGTATCTCTCAACTATAAATATGAGTGGCCTAAAATTCATATAAGAGTGGCCAAAATGAGCGCGACGAGTGCGAAGCGGGACGAGTGGCCAAAATGCGAGCGACGGACGGGCAAACAGTTTGCATTCAAGTTCGCAGGTTAACACAAACCAAACCCGACATTTCAATCGGGTCGAAAACTTAAACCCAAACCCGAGTTGTTTGTACCCAAACCCAAAATTTGCTAGTCGAGTTTTCGGGTCATGTCATGTATTGACACCCCTACTTGAATATGCTTGATCCAAACCTAACCCATTTATTATATCAATCTAAATATTTGACTTGAACTCGACTCGACCAAATCCATCTAACTCAAACTCGACCATTTTAACCTGATTATTGTATAAATCTTGAATTTATGTTGGTTCAACACAACCTGTTTAACCCAAAACTAAACCCAAAAAATAATCATGTCAATTTTGGGTTTATGAGTCCAATTAGAACTTAGATTTTTCAAGCCGGATCCATGTTAGGTCATTTATTAACACCCCTATAGCCAATCAACCTATCACCCAATAGGAAGTTCAGTTCAACATCCATGTTTCAAATCTTTATAAAATAATATGGTCATAAGTCATAACATTTTTGGATAACGGTGCAAAAAATTAAATGTAATAATAAGAAAGTCCAATACCGTGAGTTATTTCACGCCATAAATAAACAAGGACACTAAAAAAAATCCATTGGGAAAGCAAATTCACATATCTTACAACAAACAAAATCCTCAATTATTGCCGCATAAAAAATTTTCTTAGCTTTATATCCATCCTGAGGTCTCATTTCCAATACATCTCTACGATTGATAAGCCTTTATCAATTCTACATAGTTAAAGAAGAAATTTTAAACTTCAACCAAAATTAGATTGTTCTTAAAGGTTCAGCCAATTAGGGTAATTATAGAGAGGCTATGATGATTACTAAAAGAAGAGTACTAACAATTATGGAAACTAGAATGAGATTTATGAAACTAGAAGAATACCTTTATCTGTGGCAAATGGCAAGTCCATTTTGCTTTCCTCTTGTTGAATTACTCCCCTTATTTCTTCTTCTTCTTCTAGTTTTCCTTTCCTTGTCTCATATCTTTGAAATTAATTCCAAGCCTCCTTAAATTTTCAAGTTAAGAGGGAAAGAAGAAAGATGAAATATTAGAAAGAGAATGTGGAGTAGAACTATAAGGGGTGACAGCTAGTCAAGACCTTGGAATTGGATTTAGAGGAGTGGCCACCTTTGTGTGTGAGAGAAAAATAAAGTAATGTGAAAATAATTATTGCCTTTAAATTACCTTGAAATTTGATTATAAAATAAGTTTATTCATAAACTTCAAGGAAAAGGTAATTTTGGCCTCCTTTGTGGCTCCTCATGTAATAACCACACAAAAAATGCAATTTTTACAACATGCTCTAGCAACATCCAGGTAAGCTAGATCTACACAGTTGGTCTACCCTTTTCTGCCAACTTGGTCTATTTATGTTGATTTGCATGATCTTCAAGCCTTCATTTGGCTAAACCTAATCAGGATTAGGTTAGCATATTCTTGGCGCACCATTTTTGGTCCACCCATGGTACAGTACCCTAGGTAATGTATTTGTTCATTAACTGTACTGGTTTGCTAGCACCTTTGTAGAACTAAATGAAAATAAGGAAATGGAACTGTTTAAGGGAAAATTGATACATAAGACAAGTAATTTGTTTTCTTATCTGCATAGGACAAAGCATTTTAAATTAAAAGGACATAAGACAAGGTGCTGAGAGAATATAAGATAAGTTTATAAATGAAACAAGGAAGCCTGAGCTCCATAGCGTGAAAAACACAACCAGGGAACAAGAATTGTAAAACTACAAACACAACCACTTGTAAGACTTGAGGATTTCTATCCAAGGACTTAAAATAGAAGTAAACTTGGAATACCCAACCGCAATTGATGTCAGAAAATGTGATACATTTGCCCTACTCTCTACAAAGGAATATCTCGTAAATACAAAATGGCACAATTGTCCATTTTATATCTTAACATCCGTTACAAAGGAGAGATTTTCACTTGACTAGATGTATCCATATGGTTATCTTCTGCTAATCAGGAAGGCATGTTCATATTTCAAAGTACAAGTTTACACAACAGAAAGTTTTGTATAAAGGTTTGAGGCTTTTAACTAATCTCAAATTGATGCATAAAGGAGAGAAAATTGCTCCATTTGCTAACTCACAATTTCTAGTGTTCAACTCTATACTTCTCTCTCCAGCTATTCCTGAAGCCTCACAAACAAAAATCCAAGTTTTCCACTCAGGAAATTTGGCTTCCAATCACGTAGAGCCAGTCTTCTTCAAAAGAAGCCTACTTTAAGAACAAGGAAAACTAGCTCCTAAATTAGAGCTTCGTAGAGACGTACTGCAAAATGAATAGCATGAACTGGAATAACATCGCAAACAAATCATCTGGGGAAAGAAAAATGAAGCGAGAAACGAAAAGCCGATATGACAATCTACAACATTCTTTGGTATTAGATCCAATCCACCTCTACAATCTCCACTCGAACAATTTCCTAATTACAGGGTCGTTTCAAACTCTGATTTTGAGAATCATTAAAGGTGACATCATGGTAGACTCCAAAAGTGGCATTAGTCGTTCCTGAAAAGTCATATTCCCATTCTTAATACAATAGTTGGATTTCCTAGAGCTTACTTAACCCCTCCAGTTTCCAAGTTCTAACTTAGGAGTTAAGCAACCTTCACACAAGCAAAAAGTTTTACTAATTCAGGCTTCATCAATAAAAAAACATATAAGATCTCGTCCCATATCTCAGAAACACCTCAACAGCAAACTAATTGAGCCAATGAAATTACGCAAAGGTAGGCATACAACATTTTCCAGAGCTAAATATCAACCAAAAATCTCTAGGGCTACAGCTATCAGTATTACTCATAGCCATGAAACTCACAACTCTAATCGATTCAAAAAAAGAAAACCTTCTTATAAATTAGATGATTTACAGGTGCAACAAAAAGAGGGAAAAAAAGGAAATATCTGCTAAGAAGCTGATTCAGAACAGTAAGAACTAAGAACACGAACCAGTAGTTTCGGTATCGCCGAAGAAACGGCGACAGATCCAGCGGAAAGATTGAATGAAAGATCGAAACTGATAATTTCCATTTTATCTTTATGGCACCGAGGAGTTATATATTGCAAATAAAACAGGAAAATCACAACGCAAAGATCTTTTCCTTTTGAAGTTGGAGTTTCTCTTTGGTCAAAATGGTAGACGAGCCCGAAGGTTCCCATCTGAATGCTACATGGCTGGGCTGTACCTCCGAATATTAGTATAAATAAATGACAAATGTTGTACTTCAAAAAATAAAAATAAAAAAGTATTCACTTTGACAAATTTTTTAAGCAAATCAAATGAAAGTGGATAATAGTTTTCTAAATTTAATTAATTTAGTTGTAAAAGTGGATTCAAATATTTTCTTATGTAATTTTTTATTTGAAGTACACCACTCCAAAAATTTGACTTTATCTCTAGTCATAATTGATCAAATACATCAATTACTTTTTCTAAAGTTTATTTTGAAACAAATTACTCTTCTTTTACTTGTAGATTGCTTATTGGAAGCCTACCATTAATGAAATTGGTTTGAATTCAATTGTATTGAAACTTAAGTTTGAAATTTGTTGGAATCATACATATCATGTGTTGTATAGCATATACTCCATAATTTTTCATTAAAAATACTATAAAATTGTAACGTCCAAAGATCAAATTTGAAAGAATTATCTATTTCTCATTTTAAAAATATATTATAGCTTCTATAAATCATCAATATAAATAATAACTAGAAAAAATAACTAAAATCATATACATCAAGATAATTTATTATTCATTCACTAAAATGTCATTTACACTAGCCACGAGACCACTATAATCACTAATCTATCACAAGCTCCTGACTATAAAAGAATAAAAAAAATGCAAAAAAGAAAATTTTAAGAAAACTTGAAGATATTTGTCAACCTCACACCTACTAGTCTAACCACTTCCCTAACCTTAAATCATTAAAATCCACATAATGAGCTCAAAAGTACGTAATCCAAAACTCACTAAAGTTTTTAATGCAAAGACTAAAAATTAATTTGAAATGCTCAATCTAATATAATCAATAGCAGTCAATGTGGTTAGTGACAAAATATTATCAAGAAAACTCAAAATAAACAATAATAAAACTTTAAATCATTACAATGAATCTAAAAATTAATAATTGGTATAAAATTCAATAAATCAATAAACAAATACACTCATCAAATATAATGTGACAATATTTTGCATACATTTTTATTAAAAGCTCAAATGACTTACCCTATGATAGACCTTAGAACAGCATCTATGCTTACCTCCCTCCACTTACAATGACTTCTTGACCCTCTCTCTCCAAGTCACTCCACGTTTTTTGTTCTCAACCATGCGATGGCTTCAAAAGCCTAATACTATAATAAAATGGCATACCAGGTTAGAGTGAGCTTTCTTCTGGGGGAATTATTGGGTCAAGTGACCGGAGCATCTATACATCTGATATCCAATAGGATGATGCCACGTTGCGACCCGACGACCTTACGCGCCCGCGAGATTTTTTTTGCACGTGCTTTTCCATTTACCGCGCGGCCCGACGACCCGACCTGGACCGAAGGTAAAAAGTCACTTTTTCCGCGTAAATTTAAAAATGGCCACCCTCTTTGTTCTGTTTTGTACATTAGGGTTCAGGGTAATTTCGTAGATGAGCTATGTGGAGAGAAGCGAGGAAGACAAATCGAAAATGGAAATCTATTTGGATGACCCTGAAAATTTCCATTTTCTTTTATAATATGATATTTTCTTAAGTGCATTTTATAAGAAGAACAATCGAGCATATCATCAATCATCTATTGACGACAACTTCAATGGCAAGACTCCTCCTTCAACGCATTGTCGATACCAATATCAATGCCATCATAGAAATCAAAACTGATGTCTATCATCGACTACAATGTTGACATCCACCATCGCCAATAAATGCATGCTTAAGACCATTGTCAGCCTTTTTGATGGTAATGTCCTCTTGCTAAAAAGAATGACCGAACAAATCATCAATTATTTATTAATCACAACACGGCCATCTTAAAAGTTATTTTCTTCCCCTAAGAAGTAATATTCTACAATATAAATCTATAACATTGTATTAATAAATTTTTAAAATTTGTGACTCAGCCTTTGGGAAAATTATTAGGTCCGGTCACCGGACGTAGATATAGGTCCGGACATCCAATTAAAATTTGACACGTTGGCTGCACTTTTGTTATGCTTTTGGCTGCGCTTTGATTGTGCTTTGACTACACTTTGATTGTGCTTTACCTTCACTTTACCTGCGCTTAAAATTCCGTGGACATATTTAATTTATAAAGTAAAAAATAAATTTAATTGAATATACATGTGTACACTCAACATGTCAATATTTTATTGGAGTACGAATGTATCTCTACGTCCGGTGTCTGGATTTTTGCAGGGAACATTCCAACATCCAAATAATAATTAATATTCAATTACAAAATTCAAGCATTAGATATTGAATCTTAAGCTGCAAATTAATCCAAAATATAGAAGATTGTTAAACAATCTTCTTAATTTGGTGACCTAATTCCGTCTAACTAATATACTTCCTGCCTATATTTTGGAAGAAGAAAGAAAAATTGATAGGCGAGTGATAAGTCTTTATCAACCATATGTAATTTTGTAAGCTTGTAGAAGATTCCAAATTTTCAATGAGAAAAAGTTCCTTCTTAATCTCGGATTCCTCAAGTCTTGTACTTTAAGCTAATAATTTAAATTTATAAAATAATTGAAATTTTTATGAAGAGAAATTGATGGATCAAATGACTTCCAACTATAGCGCACACATAGTCAAATCAAGCAGCTCGACAAGATGAATATAATAAGCCCACGATCAATGGATTCCAACATCGCCAAGGCATTCAAAGAAATGATCAATGATTAAAAGGATTAATATGATTGTTTGATGAAGTGCTTTGAATTCAGCCCAAATTATCAAAATGCCCATACCAAGAAGGCTTTAAATAGAGCTAACTTCCCTTGGCGGTTTTCCACGTAAAAAAATTTCTAATCTTCTATAATGTTTCTGTACATGTTAGATTTTTATACAACACTAAGACAATAAGCTCCATATTACCGATGCAAATTTTCTAGCACATACAATATTTATACAACTAATTCAATATTATAGCTAAGAATAATTGAATCAATTAAATCTAGATGCAAGATAATTCTTAAAGTTATTTTATTTGATTCAAGCTTGGTTATTATAGATCCGAATACCCAAAATATTGAGTTCAAATTAAGTCAACGCATTTTAAGGCAAGTTAATTTGATAAACTTAATCTCAGCTCAAAAGTGACTTGCCAGTGAACAAGAGAATTCGCCTCAAGCAGATAACTATGATCTCAAAACTCATCCCAGCCATGCAAGAATGATTTACGAAGTGGGACTTCCTTCATTCATAAGAGAGACTACTGGTCGACTGCTACGCTATTTGACCATCAATACATATCAGGCTAGTGACTTCCTAGAAACTTGAAAAATGACTTCATCAATTTTGGCATTTTGATTAGACTTTGCATCCGGACTCCAATGAAATCATGACACGTTCATTCAGGATATTAGCAAAATGTTAAAATTAAACACTTAAAGTGATTTCACCATTGGAAACTTAAAAGTGATATTTCAACCCAAAAAATTTCCAATCTACAATTGATTTGGAAACTTTGTAAATTTACCCAACATGAGAGATTGAAGGATAAACCAGTTATTTCCAAAAGCAACATGTTACAACTCAACCACATCCATGGCTTCTGGTACCTTTCCAAAGTTACCAGGCATCAAAACAGAAACATTCACACGATCATTCTGTGATGTCTTGCTGTTATCCTTTATGCGGGCAAGAGCAGGCAAAGCTATTGTGGTGATCTCAGCTGTGTTCACTTCAATCAATTTGTTCTGTTTTCTAATCCTCTGAGGAATCAAATTTTGATCTCTTGATGAGCCAGCTTTAAATAAAGCTCGTTCATCTGCTGATCCTGATGTCCTCAACGCATGGAGCTTCTGCAACCGGTAATCAGTTTCTGGACGTCTACATACTTTTCTCAACGGCACTATTTCCTGTGTTGAAAATCAAGCATGTAAAAATTCAAACTTTTAGAAAATATAATCCACATTCTATCTGTCAGATATAGATATAGAAGTTTTATTGATAAAATGCACCAGCTAGGTTGACTATTGTTAAAAAGAAAGGTTGAATTTCAATTGCCTTTTTACTGAATACAGAAGTATGTTCTCATACGTGTGTTTACATAAAAAAAAAAAAGAGTTATAATAAATATTATAATTGCTGCAGTAAATATTAAATATATGCAATAATATTTATATGCTTACATCTTTAAACATAAAAATTTCTATAACTCTTAACTGTTGATTTGGAATTATTTCCAAATTGAAATAAGCTTTATTTGGAAAGCTTTTAATGGCTCATTATTGTAATTGATTAGAGAATAGATTATTTCCCTAATTAAGTTGATTTGATTGATGCATTAATTAAGGATCTAATTATTACATTAATTAGAGATTTGATTAGGATTACATTATGAAGTTTTTCCTAATTTACTTTGGCTCAAATCTATAGATAGAGCCATGTGGGCTGCTATTGAATAGATGAGATAAGAGGAAGAGAGAGCTTGAGCTCATTCTAATCCCTATTGTTCTCCAATATAGTGAAATCATCATCCCCTCCTTGTTGACGTAGGCATCTTCGCCGAACCCGTAAATCGCCGAATTTATTGTGTTTGTGTTGTGTGAAATTTATTTCCACTGTGATTGTTTGCACAACATTAACTACAATCAAATTTTCATACTTAAATGGCATGATTGTAGCAGAGAAATTCTATGAGCATGTGAAGTGTTCGGCTAACGTTGCAACTGTTGAACTATATGACCAATGAAAAGAAGTTCAGAAGCATTAACAGGTCCATGAAGCCACCGGAGAAAAACAAAGCAGCAATTGCAAAATCCTGGAAGATGGTAGGAAAATTGTAGGTTGGCTAAACATTGGCAGATTGGTTAAGTTTTTTTATTTAAAAAAATCATGGAGCCAAAAGGAAAAAGTAGAATACCAAAACAAAAGACACACCTCAGATTGATCATGATCATAGCGGACTAGGAATCTGCATCTACATCCACGAACATCATGTCTTCTTCTTTGTGCATCCAGGATATGAGCATCAAAATAAAGAGCTTGTTCTTTACCTTCCTGTCTTATGGCCAATACGATAGTCACCATCAATTGTGAAAAATAGATATCTGAATATCAATAATCATCATCATCAACATCATCATCATCATCATCAATATTTTTTAAATTATATCCATTAGTATTACAATAATATCTCATTATGATCATCATCTTTAGCCTTATACCAGCAGTGATATATCATTAACCATTAATAGGTCTATAGTGGACAACAGATTCTTAAAACTTATAGAAAATCGGATTGGACAACCCTGACTTCACTATGACAGAGAAATTGAAATCATGGACAGATAAAATATCAGCCTTGGAAAACATATAATGAGGATTACATAACGAATTTTCAAAGGTGTCAGCGCAAGAAATAATCTGAAAATTAAATGGAAAGTAATTAACATCTAATGCTGATTTATAATTATTAGTAGCATTATTGTATGAAAATAAGCTTACTAACTATTCCTGGAAGTAGAGCCTTTTGTACCTTTTGACATTACCGTTTTCTAAGTATCATGCTGCAGTTGCACATCAAACTTAATATGAAATTTTCTTTGTAAATGAAACTTGTGGAGGGTGTGATTCAGTGCATCTTGAGCTCTATTTCTTATTAATAAATTAAGGAAATTACTCACTAAAATGTTTCATTTAGATTTTGTTTGGGACTGTTCTTTTACTGCTTCTTAAAATAATTTTTAGTAAAAAAATTAATTTTTGTATTAAAAAACTGCTTTCAGAGGCAGTCAGAAAGCCAACTCAAACAAAATCTTAGTTTAACAAAATGGTGTGATATTTTCTGGTAGATAATTGACCTTGACTCATTTTGGCACTGATGTTGTGTTGCGCTTCTTTGCACTGTACTCTTGCTGCGAAGCAGAGCAAGTAATAGTTTGATAAAATAACTATCTGAAGTGCTCAACGCGCTGTAGCTGCTTCGTAAAAATTATTGTGACGCTGGCATGAGTGATTGAATGACTGAATAAATATCACTATAAAATTTCTTGTATTAATACATGATAAACTAATTTTAATTTGTGATACAATGACTAGAATACCTATTATCATAATACTATAAATTAATTGTGATTTGCTTATGATTAACTGCTATAAAAATTTTCTTATTTCTTAAAAACTAAAATTCATAGAAGCAATTTTCTCAGTAGCCATCCAAATCAGTATTCTAGGAAAGCTTGTTTTATACTATCATAACCCTGAAATTTTTTCACAGCAGCTAAAGTTTCGTCTTAGGCTTCGTTTGAGGCGGCTTTTTTATTGCTTCTCAAAACAGATTTTTAGTTTAAAAATTAAAATTTTTATATTAGGGCTACTTTAAGAAGTTGTAAGAAAGTCATCCCAAACAAAGCCTTAAACGGTCCTTCACTGTTGTGTGAAAAGCAACCAGTAAAAATTAGTATCCATATGGAGAAATTATTACATGCAGAGTCCGAACGGGGAGAACTGTCCGGATTTGTGAGTATTTAATGAGTATTAGTAAATACTCAGCAAATACTCACAAAAAATTCAGTAAATACTCAACAAATTCAGACGTTTCTCTCCGTTTGGACTCCACACGTAATAATTTCTCATCCATGTGGTTGAAAAGATGACAACTTCTCCGTTTTTTCAGAATTTGCTTTTGAAAAACTTATTTTGGGGAAAGAAGAATATAACCTATGGCTAAGAAAGCAGTTTTTAAAAGTTTCGATGTCAAAAATGAAACATCATAAGATACCCCAAATAAAGTACAATCGAATGCCTTGAAACTGCCATTGTTGTTCACATCAGCAGAATCCAGGAGCAGAAAGCATTACCAAACAGATCCTCACTCTAATGGATGGTCTAGCTTAGAAACTTTTCCATTACAAATTCCACTTCATAAACACGTATGAACTAATAAAATAGCAGTGCATGACTTCGTGGAAGCACTTCTCACTTTCTCTGTTCGTTTTGAAGTAAATCAAAATAGGTAATACAAAAAACAACTAAATAAAAACATTGCATATACAAAGCAACAACCTTTCTCTTTATTTTTATAACCATACAGCACAAATTAAAAATCGAAAGGTAATGACACATGCTAAGATGAAAATACCTGAAAACAAAGTATAAGATCCCCAGGGAGCACGGCAATACACTCCATATTCTCACAAGGAAGAGACCGCTGTCGAACACACCTTCGAACATTTATCCACTCATCCTCTTCGATACCAAATCCCGAAAACCTAACCCGCACTTCCTAAAACAATGACTATTAACATCAGATTTATAAAACAAACTTCAAACTCAGTTGCCAAATTATGAAGGATGAAATATAGAAAAATTTAGATTAAAGAAACCTATAAATGATTCTAAATTTAGATAAATTTGATATAATATTATAGGATACATTGGTTAATCTTATAATATTTGTCTTTTGTATAGGATATAAAAAATCTTTCACTTTAGTCCCTCCATTAATAAAGACTTCAATAAAGTATACAGTAAATGATTAAAATGAACCCTAGAATTTATACTAATGCCCATTTTAATTCCAAACTTTTTTCTCATTTCAAATTCAATGCCCCAACTCATCAAATCTTAAATCTATCAACATAGTAATTTCTTTGAACTGAAACTAGTGGAGGAAATCTTTTTATAAGGCCATTCAGATTTTCTTTTAGTGTCAATCTCACAGCTCAAACTAATGAGATTGGCCTTTGAAACTAAAAAATGCTCATGAAAAGTTTCTCTCTACCAATATTTGTCCAAACAAATGACAAATTGACATTGGGATCAAATTGGTGATTTAGTGAACTGAGACAAGAAACTAAAAATCTAGATAAGTTTAAGGCTAAAATCATCACAACTATAAACATTTAGGGGCCATTTAGTCATTAAATCATAAATAATAAAATGCCCAAGTCTCTCTCTCTCCTTTTCTCTCTCTATCTCTCTAAAGCAAGAATGATACCCAAGGCCAAGAAGAAGCCGATAGAGATGAAGCTGGTAATGGAGAGAAGGCAATGGGTGCCAACAGTGAAGAAACTTGCAGAGGAAAAAATTAAAATAGAAAAATATAACCAAAAAGTGCACCTTCTGAGGTAACAAGGAAAACAAGATCAATAACTGGTCAAAACTATATGATGTTTATTATTTGTTGCTTAAAAAGAATTCTTTGCTTATTATTTACTAAAAATTGTCAGAAATATTACTGATGTATCCTCAAATACTGGCCTAAATATTTTAATCAGGGTGCTTTCATAAAAAAAAAAATATTGAGAAATTGAAAACAAGATAAAAAGTTATTCAAATCACTAAATTTAACAAAAAAAGTTGATATTGATCAACAATTTAACTCGTCTAAATCATGAGTATGTGTATTACGAGTGTTTTGCATTCGAGGGAGTGGTTGCTTAATGAGAGATGTCAATGTCGGCTTGAACCTCCCAAACTGGCCCATATTTATGAGTATAGACAAATAAATCAACATATTCATGAACAAAAAATTTGGGTTAGAGCTAATTTGAAAATACCATAAAATGACTTGATTTGCCCCTAATATAGGCACTTGTCTTTTTATTTTTCAAAGACATAAAATGAAAGGTTAAGGCTCTCAACTCTCCCTCTCTGCACTTCCAAATCCTCTACAAGTTTTCCCAACTTTCCTCAATTTACCTCTATCTGGAACAATTGCCTCACAAGGTCATGTTCACCGGAATATCTTTTTCCTATGATAAATTTTAGAAAATACTGAGGGACAGTTCGGGATCATTTTTTATTTTTTATTTTTTATTTTATTTGTATTTTGACATGAAATAAAAAATGTCAGGTATCTTTAAAATATTCTTTGACTATTTATGAGAAGGTGGCGGGGGTCGCTAAAGATGCATTATTGGAAATCGAGGAGTAGATGACAACAACGGTGATTGTTGGTGTCTCTGGTGGTTTACGGAGGCAGTGGTAGTAGCGGTGTCCATTAACGATGGGCTGGTGGTAATAATTGTTTTTAAAAAACTCAAAATGCCTAAAAGTTATTTTTAAAATAGCCTTGCTTTGTTTTTAAAAACAAAAATAAATAAATAAAAACTGCTAAAATTTGAGAGATTTGAGTCAACCTGCATGTGTGCTATGGGCTGAACGATCTGACTCTTTAGGCCTAAAGGTTTATCCCTTACGTTTCCTCAATAAAAGAGCATTCTCAAACCACAAGGGAATAACTCTTTATAGGAAAACTACATGAATAAATCAACAAGCCAAGTTAATTTCATCCTATAATAAGCATTACCTTCCTAATAAGTACCAAATCAGCCTGACCCTAAAAAAATTTGGGACAAAAATTTAGCATTCTGAAAATGATCTAAACAATTACATGAGCTAGACCATAATAAGCACATACTGGGCATTATGAAGCAATCAGGTAATCAAGTCGAATCAAATTATTACCGGATCTTCAGTTTCACTCTTTCTATGAGACAAAAATGCTGAAACATCGTACCTACAAATGAAGCACATTTAGAAGGTTAATATATTAGCATAAGATAATAACTTCCAAGATATTTGCTTTGAGTGGAGAACTCAATAAAAAAAACAGAAAAAGACCAAAGCAGGCCTTCGAATTGAAGCACATGCTAAAATATTTGGAATTGATGATGGCAATCAAACTAATGTTGCTGTCATTGTTCATAGTATAAAAAGTCCATTTTTGGCTTGTCAAATGGAATTGACAAGCTTAAACGTTTCTCCTGTAATGCAGCCAGTGATCATCAATATATAAATTCTCATCATATACGGTTTGATTAATACTGTTAAATGCACTCATCTGGCATGCTAATACGTAAAAGTCTTCAAAAGCAATATCACCTTGTAAAATAGAACTACATGATGCTGTTTTTCTTCAAATAACAAGAAATATTCTTAAAACTAGCAGAGAGCCCATAGTTTAGATAATATTTGCAAAAATGCATTTCATAAGACTGTCAATTCATTCTTATTATTATATTATTATTTTTTACATATCAGGGGCAGTGATAGCTGCCAATTATATGATTTAGTATCAGTGTATATTGGATAACATCAACAACTAAAATCTGGAGATAAAGATGACAAGATACACAATTATTTGGTGCTCAAGTGAGGTCAGATGCTAGCCTAACATCTGTTATCTTGCCATTTAAGGATGATGATGAGCCCGATCAAGATTCCATGGTTCCGTCATCTCGAGCCATCGTGGTCCCTGAACTACTTAGTCAAAAGAGATAAGTCGATCCAACCTAACAGAAGGATCCTTGTCGGCAACCTTGAGTTGTTTGGTCCAAGGGTACCTTGTTAGGGGTGTCAATATTTGATATGACCCGAAAACCAAATCAAAATCCGACCAAAAAATTCTAGATTTCGGTCAACCCGTCTGGCAAAAGGGTCGGGTTCGGATTCCTAATTTTGCCTCGTTTGAAAAATTGGGTCGGGTTCGGGTTAACCTGCTAACCCGAAGTTGAACCAGGTATGACCTAGTTCCAAATTTTGACCCGTTTGCTTTTCCTCTTCTTCCGCTGCTTCCGCACGTCCTCTCCTTCGACGACGTTCCTTCAATGATGCAGTGCAGGCGGAAGTCACGACAATCCGCTGCTTTCTCCTTTGACAGCCTGCACGCCTTCTACTTTGACAACACACTGCAGGCGAAAATCATAACAGCCCGCATGCCACGCCTTCTCCTTCGATGGCGTTCCTTCGACGACAACAAAAGTCCGCTGCTTCTCTTTCGACGACATTCCTTCACGTGGGGCCCAAATTCAGAAGTAACGACAATGACAAGAGGGAGCTTACCGTTCTCTCATTTGTGCGCTTCTTCAGCTAAATCTCACAAGTTGCAGGTTATTTCAAGTCGAGTCAACCCGACAACCATGTGGGTCGGGTCCGGGTTGCATTTTCCGACCCATTTGCAAAAATGGGTCGGATTCTGGTCTTGTCGATTGTCAAATAGTAGTGGGTCAATATCGGGTTCGGCTCAAACTTGACCCCTAAGCTGATTTTGAAACCCCTATACCTTGTAGACATGGGGTGAATATTTATCTAATGGAAAAAATTTGAATCCACCTTAGCTAACAGAGGGCTTTGTGCCTAACAGCCTATCGATTATATCTTATTAATTCATTGCTCAATAATTTGAAGCCGTTGGAAAACATACGGGCTCTGACCATGACCATAATTTAGTGGTGTCATTTGGTGGAAAAATTATCCAATTCAGAGGGTCACGGTCATGATCGTTTACTTGTGGTGCCATTTGGAGGCGAAACCATCAGTGTGGTGCTATTTGGCAGTGAAACCACCGGTTAGAGGACGTGTGCCACGTCTTTACTAGCAAGAGACGTATTGAGAATAAATCTTAGTGATATTCTCAATTAGACATTAACTCTTTGTGAGCTGAAGTGAATTTTAATTTGTCCATCTAAGCAAACTGTTGCGAAGGGTGGATGTATATTTTACTTTAAATGTTTAATTATTCATTTTAATTTTAAATATTTTAAATTTTAATATTTTTTGGGATTTTGAATTTTTATGGGCATTCGGGAGGTACTTTTAAATGTTTGTGGTTCCCTTCGGTTGGAATTTTCTGTCAACACGGTCGTCATCGGGATTTCTATGGGTTACATTTTTGTCGATTGAACCTTGTCGACTCCAACAATTTACTGACTAAGGATTGAGTTCAAATCTAAATTTATCTCTTAACCCGTGCAGCATCCTTAAACATCACGTGTGTACCTACAACACACTTATCGGGGCCCATGCAGGTATATGTTGTTACATACATTTTGCATGATGTATTTATATGATTGTTATACGTATATAGTGGATGTATGCGATGCATCTGCATGTATCATGTATATCGGCCTATGTATTTTGCATCTTGCATCTGTACACTATGTAGTTTCAGTGTGCGGTATTTTTGAGTGTAGATAGAATATTGCATGATATTATTTGAATGGAATCCTTTGCATCCTACGGATGCATGCAGAAGGTTATCTTAGAGTGCAATTGCAATGTCGAATGACATACTAGAATTAAATCCTCTACATATCACAGATGCATATAAGAGATCATTTTGAATTAAGATTGCAATGTCAAATGACATACTAGAATGAAACCCTCAGTATATCGAGGATGCACGCATATTATGGGATGTATTTGAATATGCATTTTAATATATGAGTGGGGTGTTTTATATTTTCGGAGATATCTAGTTATGCAGGTAGCTACTATTGGAAAGTATGCAGGACTTTATTTTAGGCTTTGTTGACATCTTTTGTCCGCTTGTATGAATGTCGTGGATCCCGTGGTGTGACACATTAACATAGTGTGTAGTACATTTGTGTAACATGCATGCAAAAAAAATCTATATCTTGTCAATTTGCCCGCATAATATGGTTGCATGATAAATCGGAGCTTGCATGTAGTGCATAATGTATCTGTATTCCAGCAGGGCACGCTGCTGCTGTTCAATATATTTTTACATGCTTAATAGTGTGTCTACGTAATGCATTTTTGTACGTTGCGATTGTATGCATGAGCAATATGTTGGCATGTAAGGGTGATGCACTGTTATAGCATAATGCATCTTATAATGTCGAATAACATATTTGCATAAATTATTATACATATTGCAATGCATGTATGAAGACATTTTAAACTATTTGACACTAATCAATTGTGCAGGCAACTATCGTCTGAATGTGTGTAACATTCTATTTAGAAGCTTGTATAGCTTATACGAGTTTTTCATATCCGGTGGAATGGCGCTGCATTTCAGTGGCCCGTAGTTTTTACTACTAATTCTCTATTTTTGCTTACAGGTGAATCATAGTGTTTCATCCAGAATAGCCATGAGATACTTCATTGTTCTGATGCAAGCTCCATATTTTCGTTCTTCAAGAGATTAGATCTACAAATTATCCAATCCCTGTTAAGGCTAGATGAATACATCCAAGTTGCATGAAGTCATTTTGTGATAGATGAGATATCATAATCTGATAAAACCAAAGGCTCGGCTGAAATACTATTAGATTTATTTGTCTTTATTTTGTCACAAGATAGCCTCCCCGAAGTATGAATAGAAAAAAGCACAAGATAATTTACAGTATCCCAATGACATTCTAGTATCTGATATGCGCATATGGGACGTGGAGGTTTCTCCTATAGTCCTTGACATAGTGATCAAAATAGGCTCACAACTGCAACATTTAACCTTGGAAGAACGTGAAAGTTCAGCCTTCAATTTCACAATATTCTCACAAGGAGAATGTGCTCGAGAACCTCGTTCCATGTATTTACAATGCATATGTAGGACAACAAATTGTGAGGCTTGACTTCCGGATCTTCATTCAAATAGTGTAACATTTCTCCAGAAACTTCAGTATTTATGATGAGATGATAGAATGAAACATTTCTTCAACTGCTCATTCTTTGACTCTACAGAATCATTCAACTTTGCATGCTTAGTGTCACAGTTAGGGCCTTCTGCTGGTAACACATCAATTGACCTCTTTACACCAAGTTGTCTTTCTTTACCCCAGTTGCCACCATCAGAACCTCTAAGGTTATCAATTGGAGAGTTTAGGTGAACTTGATCAACAAAACCTTTGACTCCAATGTAAGATGAATATGCTTCTTCTCAGCGTGGTTGTTAACTGTGAAAATCTTCTACAATGGTTCGTAGGCGTTTGCAGCTGCTGTAATTTTTCTACATTTGTTGCAATCTTCAATCCTTGCTTGTGAATAGTAAGTTGCATGCGTGCCTATGTTCACAGGGGCTCAGCATACCTGCAGCATATTTACCATCACCGCTACTTGTTGGTGCTTATATCTACTACAATATTTTTGTATTTGCCAGTAAATAACACGTAGCACGTTTGGCGAGAATCCTACAGTGGCTCATAAGTGTTTGTATATGCTACGAATCACCCGCATTTGCTTGCAAGGTGCAGGTGTGTTTGCTGGAAGCTTGTTAATGTTGATTACATGAACATCCTTGCCCTTGTTGTATGTTGCATGTACATGTCTGCACATGTCCTTATCATTTGTAGGAAAGTTTTGTATGTTTGTTACCATACTGATGTAAGCTACCAGTTGAGCTACATTTATCATTAGTTTCTATACATGTTGGTCGTCAAGTTAACACACATCTGCACCTTCTGATTGTAGGGTACTATTGATATGAGCATTGCATATTGATCAGCTGATCCTTGCTTGCGAGGGATCAAAGCATTTGTCTCCTATTGAATAGCGGTTGATTGTAGGGCATTATTGCGTTCACTATCCATTGTTGATCATTGCATGCGGGTATATTATTGTGCATACGACAAATCATCAATTATTACTAGAAGGCATTTACATTTTCCACGATATTTTATCTTATACATGTAGAAGATCCATCACATTGGCAGTACATTCATCATAATTGATTGTAGATAGGATTGTTGTATGCATTACAAGCTCTCCGTTGTCGCATGTGGGCAAGCTATGTTGAATGCAAATCTTCTAATGATGCTTGTAGGTGTTTGCATTTATAACAGTTCTTCTGCATTTTCCAACAGACCTCCTACAACGGTTCGTAGGTTTTTGCATTAGCTACATACCATCCGTCTTTGTTTGTAGGGAATCAAAATATTTGTCTAACATTTAATGCTTTTTTACTGCAAGGGTGTCGTAGCACCCATTGCATGTTGCTGGTTATCACTATTGTGCATACGACAAATATTCCATCAATGATAGCATGTATTCACATTCATCGTGCTTTATATTGTGTGCATGTTGACCTGTATACTAAATCCAAGGGAAACAACAAAAAAAAGAGAGAAGTTCAAAATCATACCTTGTCCATTGGATCCTCGAATCCAGCCGCAAAACCCGCCGAAATCTCACCGAGGTTCTGTCCAAAAATCCCGTAAAATCCTGTAGCTCAGCGCCGCTTATGTCTCGATCGGAAAATCCTGCCCAAATCCCGCGACCTGCCTCGCAGAACGATCCCGATCGTTGTTAAATAGCAGGGCAAATAGAGTCTTCGGCTGCTGCTTCCTTCTGTCCGATTCCACACAGCTCGCTATCCTCTCCACATACGATCGCTGCTCACGATCTCCCTCTTCTCCCAATCGCTGCTCTACCTTCTACACGCGATCTCCTTCGACTCCCCGCTGCTCTCCACGCTCGTCTCTCCTCAATTCGCAAATCTCCGATCCCATCTCCACGGCCTCCTAATCGAAGCCGATTGGAAGCTTCAACGCCTCCTCCATCTCCCCTTCTCACGTGAACTCCACTTCCTCCATCCGACCCTTGCCCGATCTCCTCTGCCTGTGCCGACTCCAACCCGAGAGAGAGAGAGAGAGAGAGAGAGAGAGAGAGAGAGAGAGAAGGGAAGACCTACCTTAGCCGACCTCCTCATCCCGTCCGAAGCATCTCCCGATCCCACTCCCATCGCTGCTTCTCATCTCCACGTGAAACCACTGCTCTATCCCGATCTCCTCTGCCTGTGTCGACTCCAACCCGAGAGAAAGAGAGAGATAGAGGGCTGTCATTCTCCTTACCTCAGCCGCACCCCATAGCAGCCTTGCCCGATCTCCCTTTCCTCTTCCTTAGCCGCAAGAGGTTCTCCTCTTTATATATATTAATATATATAAGTTATGTATATATAAATATATATATAACATATATATCCAAAATTTACCTCGGAACTTAGTCTGTTAAAACTCCCTCGCCGAATAAGAAAAGCGAGTGGAGGCCGAGGCCGAATTTTCGGAGCCCACAGTGCATTTGCAAGGGGCTCTATTTTTTGCAGGCAAGTTGTTATATCTGCTGTCATTGCTCATGAACAAGTTAAGATACTTGTTTGTCAGCTAGCTGCTATTGACTGCAAGCAGGTTGGGTGCTCATATGCAGAAAGCTTATGCATTGGCTAGATGTTTGGTTGTCTTTAACTGTAAGGATATCTTTACAATCATTGCATACCCAACATTTTCATCTGCATGCTACTGTTGACTATCAGTGACATGCATTTAACTGTAAGGATATCTTTACATGTACTATCAGTACGAATAAGGGTACTTCTGGGACGGGTGATACATTTAGCATAATCATTTTTGCACTTTGCATTGCATATGAATAAGGTGAAAGAAATGAATGAAAGAAATAAAATGTTAAAGAAAAGAAAATGCAAGAAAAATTGAAAAGTTTAAGAATTATGACTTGCAAAATGATATGATTTGAATTAGTTCCAATTGTAAAAGTTTTTGTTTTATGCATTTTATGAAATTAATTGAGATATAAACTACCTGCTGAGCGTTGGCTCATTCCTCATTTGGAAATGTTTTTCAGGAGAGAAGTGATGGCTGCACGACGACCGTATACGTATCGTCGTAGGGGATCTCAGGAAGAAAGGTTTCATTTTATGTTTTAAGTTTGAGTCTTTGAGTTTTTTTCTGTAGTTCGTGAGTTTGAAGTTTATGTAATGGTGAGAGCTTATGTAATGTAATTGATGTTTAAAAATTTTTTAGTAGTTGTGAGACAATTGAGCAGTCTGAAACATTTCAGTTTGATGTCTTTTAGTGGCTCTTTCTTTTAATGTTGGATGACATTTATGTACTGCTGTTAAATTTATAATGAATTTGATTATGCTTTATATGCTCTTCCGTAAGATCGTCTGTTCCCGCCCCGTTATCGACGGGCTAGCCGGGCTGGGTCGTGACAGCATCATAGATTAATACAAATCCATACAAAAATATATGTGATGTGGCGTGGCAAAAGACAAAATCATGTCTTATGAGAGAAAGACCGGGACAGAGAGATAAAAAAATAAGAATTAACTTCAATTTTCATTTATCCATCAATTGATCCAAAATAAAAGCTAGGAATTCCTATTTATAGAAAAATATTACAAAAGTTGATATTGAAATCAAATCTAATAATTCAAATTCAAGCCTAATATTATCCAAAAGAATAATTATTGTTATTATCACATAATAAAAAAACAAAAAAAAAATTATCAATTAATACAAATTGTTATTATCAATTAAAACAAAGACCAAAAGTTCTAACTTAAATGAAACAACAAAAACAAACTCTAAAACTAATTTTTTGTGATGAATCAATATATTTGCATGCACTCATGCATATAATCATGTACATTTCAATCTGATAACGAGATGTGGCCTATGACGCATAGACACGGACACGACAACACAAATACGACATGACATGACATGGACACGGGACACGGCAATTATTGAAAATATAGGACACAAACATGGGTTGGACACTTGGACACAATATTGTAATTTTTAAATTTTAAAAAATAATAAATAAAAATTTAACTAGAATTTGTGATTAAAATGATTAATATTAGGATGTCGAGAGACGGACATCGATATTATGCAATAAGTCTTCAGCGTTGATATCAATAGGGCGTCTGTCGTCAATATTAAGATAATGTCGGACAAAAATGAGCTGTCAAGTTGTGGGTGAAGAAATTGCTAATATCGAGCATCAATGTCAAGAGAATGTCAAACTTCGATGTTGACATTGTTTAGAGATATCGATGTTGTAATGATGTCAGACCTTGATGTTGAGATGACATCAGGCATTGTTGTGAAACCAAAATCGCAACCACCAAAGAGAAATGAAAATGATAATATTCGATGAATGGGGTATTGAGTGCGGACGATTGATTTGATATTGTGGATATAAAATAAGAAAATTAGTTTTTATATTTTAAATAAATAAAAATTTTAAACACAAGAAATTATATTTTTTAAAAAATTCATTTAATATTTAAGACACGTGTGTCTCATACACGTGTCCAATTTGTATTGAATAGTTTTTTTTAATAGAACATATTTTCGGTGTGTCCGACACATGTCAGAGGCGTGTCCGACACTGTACGACTCTTTGAGGAAAGTGTTGGTGCATCATAGGTTGTGGCTTTATTTGATCTGAGATCTAACTCAATTCAAGATAAGCTTGGCTCATTAATCAGCTTGTCGATTTTGATCGAAACTCAATTCAAACAAAAAATTTATCAAGTTTCAAGTAATTCTCATTCTTTTTGTTTCAATGCCCTGTTTTTGACAGACCATGACCAAGGGTGTCAACCAATGCCATTTTATTAAATGGTAAAGTAATCTGAGACATCAAGGTGGTCTCTCCATTAATTGTTCAAGCAACTCAGCTATAAATGAGTCTAAAATAAAACTAACCATGCTCCGTCCCTCGCTGATTTTGCCTCGAACTCCAACTGAGAATTCTCAACTGAATTCTGTCCTGAAATTTTAAGGTTGTAAGAAATTCAAATTGACAATTCAGGGAATCAAAATCGATTGAATTCAATTACAATAAAAAATTATACCTCTAACACAATAAGATCGAAAGGATCAGTTGAATGCGGTGAATTCAATCTAAGCATTGCGTGGCAAAGGAAAAAAAATCTAAAAAATCATACTGAAAACCGTAAATATTATTTTTTTAGAAACTTGAACAAGTTAACAAACTTCCAAGAGATTGAATGCACATGCTTTCTTCCCTAAAACAGTGTCCAGTTTTTATGATAGTTGAATGGGTTAACCAAATTCTCTAGGAGATCAAATTATTAAGAGTAGAAATCTCAAATATTTAGCAGAATCATACACAAAATAGGCGCTTGAAGTTAGCAAAATTACAAGCAAAATGAAACTATTCTTGGAAGAAAACTTACAGAGCCAACAAAATGCTCAAAATTGACGCCCCATAATTGACAAAATTCTCCTCCCCAATATATCCATCTATATGGAACCTTGTCACCCACTTCTCTCAACTTTCAAAAATAAAAAAACCAAATATCAAACAAATTTCTTTCCCCTATCCACCCAAGCATAATTGCAGTTTTCACATCAGATCCCTCTGAAGCACATGTAAGTAACAAGAGTTTCTAAGCATTTGTGGGCATCACAATCAATAAGGATTGCAATGCAAAATATTCTGAATTTCATTTCATTATCACAAAGGACGGGGAAATTTCCCACACAGAATCTCTAATGGGGTTTAACTCAAAGGTCCCAAAAGAAGGTCAACTGAAGGATGTTAGAGCTTTAAGAAAAGGAAGGGGGAAAATTAACACACAAGGTTCCTGGCAATTATGGCTATGTGACACACAATAATTACGAAAATACTATTACTACAGTTGATCTGAATATTAGAAATGAATAAGAACATAAAAGCCAATTTTGCTGCCGCAAGAAGATTGTTAGATGCATGGTGGAGCAAACAAATTCAGCTTACAAATGCATAAGCAGCTAGTAATCAGTGACATTGTTTATAAAATCACCTTGGGAAGAAACAGGTTAACAATAGGCAAACATTGTCGAAACAAACAAAAGAATTGATTTGCAACAATGCTATAACATCAGAGCTTTTTGTCAAATAATATGAATTTATAGTAAATAGAAACGAATATAATATCATACAACAACTTTAACAATGCATAGTGCACAAGTAGCAGGTTATGAGTAGCAGAGCACTTTGATATTTTATGTTAATGAAAATACCTTGTGGAATATTTTGTGAAATAGAAGCAGGTTGACCCACATTTCTAAAGTGAACAGAATCATCTCGAGTTATAGGAGGGGGTACATTCTGATTTACAGGAGCCTTAACCTTTGCTCTTTGTGAATATCTTCTGTTTTGAAACCAATTCCAAACCTACAAACTTTAAAATAATAAATAAGGTTTGCGAGGTTCCTCTTTTTAAAAGAAAAAAATACAAGAAAGGCCTCTAACCTGTTTTGGCTGTACAACAGTTTTTCCGGCTCGAAGAGGTAATGCACTTCATAATAACAAAATTGTAATCCAATCCATTAATTGATTCAAGATCTGGAAAAACTACAAATTTCTTAGGAGAGAAGATTTATCATGCATACCTGAACTTTTCTGCTAGCGCACATATCATCTCACGAGCCGGTATAGCATTTTTTAGTCCTTTCAAGCATGCCTCCATTTCAATTACCTTAAAAGATCCATTATATTGAGTCATTCATATCATGCTTAGATCAGGAATTACAATTACAACATAAAACATCTAATAGAATTAAAAATCTACCTCTCTATGAAGAAAAATATACAAAAAGTTGCACTAGATAAAGTTTACATTTCAATGGCATAAGCAGCAGCAGAAATAGGGAATCTGGCCTCTAAATGATAACAGAATTGCCAGATCAATAGGTAGCCAAGAAACATTAAATAATCTTCTTTTCCAAAAAGTTGTTCCAGGAGAGCTAATACAGAATAGATCAACCATAGGCATTTGGAAAACATTCCATTCACAACATGATAGATAAAACTTCAGAGAATTTAGATCAACTATATGAAACAGAGAACAAAGGAAAAACTGGAAAGAGAAAGGAAGAAAAGGAACTCAAACAAAATAAAGAATAGTGAAATAAATAGCACTGAACAAGAAAAACACCCATGGGGGTTCGTGCAGCAAGGGCCGGTGATAGAAATTTTAGCATGCATACCAAATCATGATTGTTCCAGGATTTGCTGGTTGATTATTGAACGTTGTAGAACCTTCACCTTTTCTTCTAGATTTGGGAAAAAAAAAACAGCATTGTACAATTGAGATAACAAAAGATCAGGATCACATAAACATATTTGGAAATCTTTAAAAAACCAATCGAACCATAAATCACACTATTTTCTCGAATCATTCATTAAAAATTAGGCAGATATTTCAAAATGCACTGTTACCCATTCTGATATCAGTGCACAACTTTTCTTTGAACAAATAAAACATATATTTAAAAAATGAAAGAAATCAAGAACAACAAAGAATTGATGAAACAAATCATAATACAATGAGTTTTGTTACTAGAAAAAAATTATTTTCAAATATTGATATTTGTTAGGATAGAAAGCAAAATTTCAATACTACTATATGATATAAGGGATATTGAATTCCAAATCAACACATAAGAAAATTCATATGTATGTAACGAATGAATGGAAAAAGTAGTGAAGAGGCAATTATCAATATGATTTATATCATAAATAAAAGGTCTTGATTGGTAGCAAAAGAATGGTGAAATAGAATCAATCAACATTTATGATTCAAACAACAACAACAACAACAACAACAACAACAACAACAATGTCAATATCAAGCCTTTATTCCACTACGTGGGATAGGCTGCATGAAACAAGGAATAAATCTAATTGGATTTATAGAAAAAATCCCAATGCATTTCTTCCATGAAAAAAAATAACATGTAACAAATTCATTTTTGAGTAAAAAAAGATAACAAAAACAACAAGCCTTTATCCCACTACGTAGGACAGGCTACATAAATCATTTTTCTCAATTGTGTTCTATTAAGAGTCAAATTCTTATTTAAATATATTAAAAAAACCATTTCTAATACTTTATAATCAAGTCTTTTTAGGTATATCTTTACATTTTTTAACATATTTAAGATTTGGTACATCTACTGTACTAATCAAGCCATCGGAAGGCCAACATTTTATGTGACCAAACCATTAAAGGCGACTCTCTCTAATATTATCATGTCTTAGCCTATGCTCAATCGCTCTCTCTCATAATTTAAATATTTGACACATTAATTTGATTATTTTATAATTTGCACATTCTTGTGCATCACCTTTATTCTTAAAACTAGGAAACAACACACTCCTGACATTTTTTTAGTCTTTAAATAATTAAAAAGTTAAATAAGCCAAGAAATTTCTTAATCTCCTAAGCATTTCCACACCTCTATTATAAAATCATTAGGTCTAGCTGCTTTTCCACACTTCAATTCTTCAAAGCCTTTATAATTTTGGTTTTACTAAAACGATGATAAAAATAAATTTTTTTATTTTTATTCAAAATACTAAAATCACTAAAGTTAATTATATTCTCACAAAATATAAATTGAAAAATTTATCAAAATATCTCATCTACCTATGTTGAATATCTTCTTCTAATAAAAACACTATTTGATCTTCATCCTACGGGTGTTAATAAATTACTCGACCCAAAAAATTCGGGTTTGAGTCTTAATACTTAACATATAACTTTTTCCAATTAAATTGTGTAACAAGAATGCATCAAGATATAGGTTAAAAAGAACTGCAATCAGACACAGCCAACCAAAATATAGCTAATTACTTCACTGATCAAATTCATATCACAAAGGTCAAAATTCTTCCATTAGATAAGAACCACTTCTTTAGTTCGTTGCCAAGTTCTGGTATTTCAACAACTTATGCACTGCATGATCTATCAAAAAAGCATTACAAAAAAGTTCCAGAAGAATTATGACAAGCATAAGTCCCATGGGATTGGGCCATAAACTACACATAAAATGTCATTGTTACCAATAGAAATCAAATTACTTTACAAATATACCAAACCCTAAAACTACCAAAATGAATTCATTTTAGAAACACCCAAAGCTTAAGGAAAACCCTAAAATAGAGTAGGATGAGAGAGTGACAAAAGATATGCGTATTGAAGGGAAACAGATGATTTTAGATTTGGGATACCTCATTATGCATGAATCGAAAGACGGGCCCTCCGCTATGTGGGTGCCGACCCATTAGATCTTCGGTCACAGAGAAAAAAGGAGCTCAAGTAAACGGCGAAGTAAGAGACCACCACCTCGACCTCGGATTTTACGCCTCCCTTCTATCCCAGATAGATTGAGATCTCTTTCCAGTTTCTAGACGAAAGTTGACATTTTTCCAGTTGGATATGCTTCCCCTATCAAGAAGATGATCTTTGCGTATATTTTTAGAACTACATAAATCCAGTTCTATTAGAATCGATCTGGCCTTTGTCTATCGGCAACTATAATTTGAAGATTTCGGTTTAATTAATTTTTATTCATTTTAGATGCAGTTATTCTAATTAAAAAATAAGTAGATGAAGTTCTTAGCATTTATTATTACTGTGCGGCCATAAACAGGTGTCTATTCGGATAAAGAAGGTCTATCCGAATATGGCTTATTCGTTAAAATTCCAATCCGAACCTAAACCCTAACCCGATCAAACATGACACGAAAAATATATAAATTGTGATGGATTAGTATCAACCAAATCCTAAATGAACACGGCAACTCAAAAATATAATAAAAAATTTTCACTCCACATAATACTTTCATAAAAAATTGAATTAAATAGCTTATTCATTATTTTTGGATTAACTCATAACATTATTAGATGTTTTTTGAATCACTTACAATAACCCAAACCTCATTGAATAATATAAGTATTGATTTGTACTCAATTTTTTTTGTGTTTGGTTTCAGATTAAGGATTCGTTTGGGACAGATTTCTTATTGTTTTTCTAAAAACTACTTTTTATTACAAAAATTTTAAATTCAAGAGATTTTTATATTAAAAAATTATTTTAAAAAGCAAGAAAAAAATTGTCTCAAACGAAATCTAAATTTTCATATCAAGTCAAATATTTATACTGCCTATCTAAAATACAATAGTAATCATAATAAAGATAATAAAATGAAGGAATTTGTGAAATTACCTTTATCACTCATCCTCCGACAATCTTTAATTCCCCTACTTTGTTATCGGTGTGAGAATTTTTTTTTTATTGTCTCTCGATTGTCATTACATGCATGCTTTCCTAAATGAGAACTTTGATGGGTAAGAATAAAATTTCATTGGATATATTAAAATATTGTCAAATAGTTTACTTTGGCAACATATGCATGTCTTTGAATGACACGTTAATCCTCTTTTACTCTAATGTGTAACATCATAATCAGAGCAACTAAATTGTTTTCCTTATAATAATGTTACAATCAACTTTATAAAACACGGCAATCATCTTCAAAGCAAATCTAATGTGTATTAGGCCCATTATAACTAAAAGTTGCTAAGAATATCCTTATTCATTCAACAGCTTACTTTTGTAAGCAATTTTATCACCAAAATTTGGTTTAAATTCAAGGCTATAATCACAAATAAATAGTAATTGCCACCATCTGGTAAAGCGATTACTACTATGAACATTATTAAGTAACCTTTTCTTCTTGAAAAGCTTTCTATATGAATCTAACGGTAACACACTTTCAACTTTTCAGACATTAATTAAGTAAACAAATGCCACCAACAAATCCTTTCCAATAAGTTGCTTCTTGATCTATGATCAGTCTGGTTGTTTTGTTGCCTCAAATTGCAAGTTTGTTGTTTTTGTTGGGGGTGCGTGGGTTTATCCTTTGATTGAAAATTTTTTTTCGTACAACGCTCCAGCGCTATGTACCCAAGAGCTGAAACTGTGTTCCCAAGCGGCCCAGCATGGAACAACAGAGAGCGGAGCACCGCAGCGAATCAAGTCAGAGGTTTGAGTGCCACAGCGCTGCGAGACAAACTAGACGGTTTTCTTTATCTTTTTTCTGAAGTGTTGCGTCCCATGGGGTTATTTAACTTGACTTTCTCTTGTATTTCGTGATGTAAGACAATGAGAACGGTGCATGTGAGAAGAGAAGCAAGGAGAGAGTGGGAGAGAAGAGAGATATGTATTTGTTTCTCCCAGTGAATTTCTTCGTGTGTTGTGGCTTTATGGTTTTTTTCCCTATTTTGAAAATTTTCACATTAAATCCTGATGCCCTATTGCTTGTTTTGTAATTGTGATGTCTACTCCTCCTCATCCCCAACATGCATCAATCTTTGTGCTTAATTTCTTATTCGAAGAAAAGAAACTTCAGGTATTCTTTGTTACTGTAAGGCTTGCAAAGCAAATGGTGCTTCTCTTGATCAACCAGCTCCAAAGGATTCTCTACCTTCACACTGTAGCTCGGTCG